CATGGAACGGATGATCCAGTTATATGATGGAAGTACATGGGTATATACACGGGCAGACAAGTCAGCACGTCAAGTCATTGACAGTCCAGGAGTGTCAGTGAGTGGCTACAGTCAACCCAACCGCTTCTTTCCAATTTATGTCAAACTAAAGGAAAGGCAGGATGGTGCAGTGGACAGAATTCTCATGTACCAGCCTTTGCCACATCGTCTGGCAGCACATGAAACTAAAAGAGTATATCACCAAACTGAATAATTCGAAACTGAAAGATCTCAGGTAATATTTTGTTTATGGCAAGTTTTAAACACAGGTTGATGAAACCTGAATGTTTTGGATCCATATAAGTATGTGTACAGTACAGAAACTTTTTTTAAAAAAAAATGAACACTACAACAGCTTAACAGGAATAGACAAATTGTATAATGCTTTATAGTTTCAGGTTATTCTGGGAAAATAGGCATGAGTCATATTGTCTCTAACAATGTCAAGGTGATTGCTCTGAAAGCTGACAAGAGTTAATTTACATGTATTCATTCATGGCCCAATTTGAATACCCAGAGCGATTCCATTAGGGCCAAACTCTTTGTTTAACTTTTAACACTTTGTAATTTATTCACCACTTCATTATATATATACTCGATTTTATTATTTTAGTTTACTTGATAATGACGTTCTGGAAACGTCAAAACGTCGTGTTATGCTTTATAATATTTTATCGCAGATTTTTATTGTCAAATGCTTTACCAAATCTTTACTTATTCGAATTCATTCATGGGAGTACAAAAAATGTGAGAAATTAATAAAGTTTAAGGTAATAATTGTTTTTAATCTTGAAGTCAATGTTTTTATATTTCAGAGCTGTCTATTCTGCCATATATGAGTTCTCTCATTCTGAAAATGGCCTTGTAACGTACTCCCTAGACCAGGGTGGCAACAGAAAGTACGAGGAATTTATAGATGGCATCTCTGCATCCCTTAATAGTCAGTGGGCGAGAAACATCTGCCCAGAAGATGTTTCAAAAGATGACAGGCATGTGCTGAGGCTGGCAGCTGTTCTCCATGTGTTATACGACCAGCTGACAAAATTTCTCCAAGAAGAAGAGAAATCACCGCCACCACAAGTCATCAGCTCATTAACTATTCAGAGGAGTATAACACTGTGCCAGTATTTTACAGCACAGAGGAGAATCCTTGACCAGGTGAGTGGTTGTTCAATAATAAAGCAACTGGTAAAACAAGTGTGACTATTTCTTGGAGAAACAAATTAACAGAGGGCATAGCCATGGAACCATAAACATGAAATTTGAAAAATACAAGCCTAGGAAACCAGGCCGTGTATTGCTTTTCTGTTTTTATTTCCTTTTTATTCCAGTTCATTTTTATTGATGAATACCTTGGTTTATGTATAAATCACAAAATCAAGATTAAATGCTTGAATCATGAATTTTAATATCCTTTTTTCATATTTGCCTATTGGATATGCAAAAATAAAACCCTGCGAAATACTATCTTACCAAAGTATAAAAATTAAGTACCAATAAGGTACACAAAAACCAGAGCGCCCAAACCGGCATGTCTACAGTTTGTCGCCACAACATTGATAAGTGTTGAGCCAAATTCTTTACCTGCAAATTTAAGTCTGATTAACTGCTTGATAACAGATCATTATTTTTTACTGAACCTCGACATCTGATGACTGATGCTAGAAATGGTTCGACAAACATTGTCCATCAGAATTTCTACAAATTAAAAAAAATAATCAATAAATATTCATCCTGAAAGATTACTTACAGCTGTTCATATACTTAGAAAAGGAACAACAACTAATAAAGAACTTGATGTTTTCATAACACAATAGCATCAATCCTTCAAAATTCCTTGATGAACAGCTTATCAGGAATCATCATTTTCAGATGCAGTACTTGTTACTGGATTACTAAAAAGGTGTTTCATGTTTTGCAGCTTGTGAAGTGCAATACAGAGAATGCCTCAAGTGACCACTATGAACGGCAGAGGCGCATCCTGCTATGTAAAGGGCCTTTTGTGTCTACACGTCTGGCCCAGCGCAATTTTAGTGGGAACGCGAGGCCATCTGCTGAGGTTCTAAGTGGCACAATGGAAAATCTGGCAACAGATGGATTTGGCACTGTCTTATCCGTCGACAGAAGCACCGTCTTCTACAAGAAGCTCCCGGCAGATATAAATGATGAAGACTTGGCCACATATGAGGTGACTAGGGAAAAATACCTCCAAGCCTTTAATGAGCGGGCAGACAAATCCATAATTACAAAGTACCTATTTAACAAATTTCTCAACCAGTCACCACATAAAGACCGCTTAAAGAATGAGCACGATATCACACCAGAGGACAACTAGACAACTAGAAGTAATGTAAGGGTACATTCCTCTAGCTCATTGCTAAGTAATGCAGTTTATCACCGTGCAATTTTTCACTTTGGGTTTTTGTGACCAACAATTTTTCATACATCTATACTCAGGGAAGTTTGACGTTTCATTTGCTGATTTTTTTATGGAATAAGTGACACTTACCTCAATTTCTGTTACTGACTTCATTCAATTTTCAACTTTTGGAACATTGTTTTACATATTATACAGGGCCAGCAACACAGTCCAAACATGAATAAACTACAGGCCTGAACAATATAAACTGGTTTACACATTTTTACTCGATTTTACCAGTAGCATTTTTTGTGATAATTATAATTCGATCCTGATTTGACAATGGTATTACTAGTTTTTCATCAATTGAAATAATTTCCTACTCATTGACAGTTGCTGCTGGTGTCTGAGGGGTAAAAAATATTGACCGGTATAAATCATTCAGTCTGCATATAAGCCCATTCTACTTGTAAAAAATGTTGAAAATGTGTACAAGAGTTGAAATGTAAAAAAAAAAAACCAAACAAACAAAAAAAAAACAAGCCGACTGGCTGATGTAGTGAAAAGCTAATAATTATTATAGTGCCTGTTGACAAAAATATGATAAAATTAATACAGCTGGTGGCTTTGAAGATTTTGGAAGCATTTCTAGTGTGAAATATTTTCCCTGTGGTTTATTCATGTGTAGGCAGGCCATTGTTACTGAAATAAAAAAACCTCCAGTTACCTTGACCATTATAATGAAAATGGCTCTTCTTTTTTTGGAATTATTTTTTAATTGGAGTTCATGTGACAGATGAGCAGTCTATTGCCATCAATGACTGAGTGACCCTCTGAGACAAATGAATATTTAGCAAATCGTTTAGAATATGAGGAAATAGTGAGGTGAGATACAGAAAATGTGAATAATATGTATGTTTTTGGTCTCAAAGTATTTTGGGTTTGCATTACCCTAGAAGTTCCAGGGAATGTTTGCAAGTTAAAAAAATGGTTCTTCCAAGAAATTTATCCTTCCAGAGAAAGTACTAGAAGGCTTCCTGTTTTTTTAACTCTAATAAATTATTATTGAATTGAATTGAAAAACAGTGCTAAGTGATCTGAGTACGATAAATTTTGTTTCAGTTACATGAAAGAGGATTTGAGTTAATGTGATTTTATTTACTGTTCTTGTTTCTTAATAACCATATAATAATTGGGTGATAAGTGCTTTCAGTTAGTTTTGTTGGTTAAGAGGAGAGCTAACCCTTCCTTGCCCCCTTTGAGATGTACTACCCTAAAATATCTCATAGTTAGTTAGACAAGGAAAACTTCATTTCAAACATATTTTTTCACCTTAAAAAAAGTAAGCAGTAGTTGTAAGTGATAGTGAGTGGGATAACCTTTTATACTCATTTTTTATTGAAAACAAACAAACAAACAAAAGGAAGCTATCCAAAGCAAGTATTAAACTAGCAGATCTGTTTTATCCAATCCTGTAGTGAATTGTGTACAAATCTAGGTCGTCCAGTTGAAATTTCCTTTGTTTTCCTTTTTCCCACTGTTACGACTGCTGTTAAAAATAAATAAATAATAATAACAAGTCTGGATGGATCGTTTACATATTTCCGCTTTTCCACTCTACCCACTGTTCCTCTGTGCCCATTGTCACTCTGCACCCACTGTTCCTCTATGCTGCCGTTCCTAGTTTTCCACTGTACTTCTGTGCCTACTGTTCAAGTTTTTCATTGGAGTCATTGGCAACCATGGACAACAGCATGACGCATAGCAATTTAATACAGTAAACTCATTCAATTAAGATAAGTTACTGACTTTTTAAATAAAAACGGAGAAAAACAGTGACACAACTAACACGCATAACAAAATGATTACAACGGGCTCTACTGATGTGTCTTTAGCTTCAATAGCGCACTTTTCGGTGCCCAAATGTACCATTTCTAAACTAAATAACCGAACAAACTCGCTGGTGAAACAACAAGTAGAGATTAAAAAGCCGTTGATAGTGGCGGCGAGGGATGTCGGCCTTGACCAGCAAGGACTACACCGTACAGTTTTACTTCCTGCTACTTAATGATCACTAGACAATGTCAAGAATATACTGGGCAATGAAATTTGTAATTCTACTTTCTTCTGCTGTATTGATGGTAAAATAGTATTCTTATAGATAGAAATTAAACCAGTCATCTTCGAATGTTGGCGCTCCTCTTACAAAAAGTGCTCACTGTTTTTCTGTGCGAACCTTTCCTGTGTGCCTACTGTTCCTCTATGAACACTATTCCTCGGAGCCCACGGTTTCTCTGAACCTAATTTTCCTCCGTGCCTACTGCATCATTTTCTTAATTTTTTTTTAAATTGAATACCGCAGATACTAATTTTGCTTATGAAGGGATACCAATCCTGCAGTGAAAAAAAAAACGTAGAAATCTAGGTCGTTTAATATAGCTCTAAGGCTCGTTTGTTAGGCTTCTTTCCACCGTCCCGACTACTTTTAAAGAATAATAATAAATAAATAAATAAATAAATAACAACAACAAGCCTGGATGGATTAATTACATATTGTTGCCGTTCTGCTGTACCCACTGTTCTTCTATTCCTACTCTTGTGCCTACTGTTCCTCTGTGCCTCTGTGCCCACTGTTCCTCTGTGCCCACTGTTCCTCTGTGCCTGCTGTTCCTCTATGCCCACTGTTCCTCTGTGCCCACTGTTCCTCTGTGCCCACTGTTCCTCTGTGCCTACTATTCCTCTGTGCCCACTGTTCCTCTGTGCCCACTGTTCCTCTGTGCCCACTGTTCCTCTGTGCCCACTGTTCCTGTGTGCCCACTGTTCCTCTGTGCCTACTGTTCCTCTGTGCCTCTGTTCCTCTGTGCCCACTGTTCCTCTGTGCCCACTGTTCCTCTGTGCCCACTGTTCCTCTGTTCCTCTGTGCCCACTGTTCCTCTGTGCCCACTGGTCCTCTGTGCCTACTGTTCCTCTGTGCCTCTGTGCCTACTGTTCCTCTGTGCCCACTGTTCCTCTGTGCCCACTGTTCCTCTGTGCCCACTGTTCCTCTGTGCCCACTGTTCCTCTGTTCCTCTGTGCCTACTGTTCCTCTGTTCCTCTGTTCCTCTATGCCCACTGTTCCTCAGTGCCCACTGTTCCTCTGTGCCTACTGTTCCTCTGTGCCTTTGTGCCTACTGTTCCTCTGTGCCCACTGTTCCTCTGTGCCCACTGTTCCTCTGTTCCCACTGTTCCTCTGTGCCCACTGTTCCTCTGTTCCTCTGTGCCTACTGTTCCTCTGTGCCTCTGTTCCTCTGTGCCCACTGTTCCTCTGTGCCCACTGTTCCTCTGTTCCCACTGTTCCTTTGTGCCCAATGTTCCTCTGTTCCTCTGTGCCTACTGTTCCTCTGTGCCCACTGTTCCTCTGTGCCCACTGTTCCTCAGTGCCCACTGTTCCTCTGTTCCAACTGTTCCTCTGTGCCCACTGTTCTTCTGTGTCCACTGTTCCTCTGTGCCCACTGTTCCTCTGTGCCCACTGTTCCTCTGTGCCCACTGTTCCTCTGTTCCTTTGTTCCTCTGTGCCTACTGTTCCTCTGTTCCCTGTGCTAACTGTTACTCTGATGACGTCAGTCAGGTCGTCGTACACGAGCCATGAGCCAGTATTTTTCAAGAGTAAAACAATTCAGAAGTGAAACCCGAAACTTTTGTTTTGCATCATTCTACGCAAACATTTTCACAACGCATATTTGTGCATAATTTGTTTTTTTTGAGAATTTTTAGCGTGTAACAAGTAGAACCACATCTAAAAAACATACAAAACATACAAGATAATGTACAGGTCGATCTATATACAACTATCGTTTTGAAATAAAGGATTTGTTTTGATTTAGTTCGGACGCGCACTGCGTCATGCGATCGATCTGTCATCAGCTGATAATTTAGGTCGTTGCGTTGTCAAATTCCGTTGAAGATTATTTACTCTGTCGCTCAAAAATCATGTTTGATCACAATACATATTGCTTTACATTCACAAATATACATCTACAGGTCTATCTCAAGGCAAAAAACAAGGATTCGAGCGAGAAAAGTAAAAGTAAATTTAATTTTACGCTGTTTCAACATCACGTGCGTCACGCATTTAAATATCGCAAGAATGTTTATGGATTACTTACCTCGAGTTAAATGACTAATTCGTGATTTATCAATCAACCAATTAATGAAAAAACCGTAGATACTTCGCTATGAGTAAATGAGTTGACACTGACATTTTACGCCAATTAGGATTATGATAATGCAACGTAACAATTTATTTTGCTCGGTTCAGTGAATATGTATGAGCAGCGTAACCCGCGCTGTTAATCAAAAGCTTATGTTATTATTAGAATTGGATTATTTTTTTTTACTTTTGAACATTCTCTTAACGCGGCTAATGTGCCCTTTCTTCTTAGCATCACTTTTTTCTTCCTCTTCATCGCTTTTTCTATCGTCCTTAGCAAGTGAATCTTCTATCTTGAGTTTTAGAAGTCCCAGTTCTTCACACATGTCTCCAACAGTAGCACTGTCATCGATGATATCTTTAACCACAGTTGTCTCCTTTAAAACTCCATTTTCTAAGTATGTGTCACTCAGACGCTCGCGATTGAGTAATTTACAGGGCAAAATAACTGTGTGAACACATTTACTTTCCTCGGAAAACCATTGATAACTTTTAATGGTATCTAATAGACCCTCTTCTTCCATATGTTGAAAATTTGTGCATAAGCCTGGTATAACTTGTCCTTGGCGTGCTTGACAGAGTGGGACCAACATGATGCCAACGCTAGCATTTATGTCGTTCACCTTTAAGTGAGTTTGCAAAAGCTCACGATACAATAAACACTGATAAAGAGGATCTTTATAATATTTTGCTTTGTCCCACCATTCCGTTGGTGAATCATCTTTAGCATAAGTCTTCCAATCCACGATAACGACTTGGGGGTCACCTTCCGGAATTTGACGCAAAGCGACAGCATCTATCTTTCCTTTATAGCAATCAACTCTCGATTTTTTAACGGCATAACCACAGATTCCAACTTCCGCTTGGACAAATGTGCATTCAAATTTCTCTTCCATCTCTGTCAAAAGCCGACCCTCTACACTCTCTATTGTTCTTTGTCCATTAATTTGTTTCTCAAGTGCTTTGTGAAATTGTTTTCCCCACTCTTGCGGTGACGATTTTTTTGAGGGATCTTCTCCTTGATTTCTATCCATTGGAATCGTGATCTCTTTTAGAACAAATGATTCCAGCACTGCCTTCTTCCTGGTTTCCCTCATAAACTTTAAGCGAAAATGGGAAACATATCAAATTTAAATAAGCCAGAGAGAAAAATAACTAATTAAATCTGAATTTCGATCAAGTCTTACTCTGGGTCCCATCAAATGAGCTACTTCTGAAGGGTTTTTAATGTCGCAGTCTGTGAATAATTTGTGATCAGATTCACGTCGATCATCGTCTGTCGGCTGCAGGTGTTTAAGAACTTCGACAATTCGCTTTTCAATATCTTCAAGGGAACTTTTAGATGCCATTGTACAGCTATGTCCTCCGCTATATGTGTTTTTGCTTATTTTGCGACCCTGTATAGTGTCATGTCCATAATTAAAAGGAAAAGTTATTTAAATGAGGAGGTAAGGCGATGTGTTCAGACGTGCAGCAGTAACCTTGTTTATGTTTTCCCAAATTTTGTTATTAGTTTCCTATGGTTCTGAATATTTTGATTGCTTAGGGCGATCGTATAGGCGAACATGATTGAGCATGCCTTGATCTTTGGCCTTACCTTGGTTAAAGCTCTACGATACAAGAAACATACGTCAATTAAATTGAGTGACTAATTTCATTATTTGAGGGCTTCAGTCTTTAGAGCCTCTTTCACAAGGATAACCTGTGTTTGTAGGCATTGCAAAGTGATAATGAAAACCAATAACCTTCAGCAGGAAGTAACTCGGATAATTTTTTCAAGACGCTTTCCTGTTCTGTCTCAAGATAGTTCTTCATTCTCAGGTTTTGAAATGGATTCAAAGTTCGTATGATTTCATAGAAATCGATTCATTAATGACAGCTGACCCTTATTCTAGTAAAGTACACCTTTTGCTAGGCATTAACGCAAGGTATTCATTCATTTGTGCCGAGCGTTAGTTCAATAAAATCACTGTACATTCACTAACGGAGTTAAACGATTGCATTAGAGGCTTATTACATTTAGGACTTTATTACATTTAGGATAGTTACTACGTTTAGGCTCTCAACACACCTGCCCACCATAACCCCGCTGATCCCGGGTAAAAAACAGAACTCAAGAAACTGCCACTAAATAGTCTTTTCCTCAACGTTGTAGAACAAAGTATCAATGCGCTCAAGGCAGCCATTAAGGCAGATATTAGCCGCCCAGAGGTGCAACAACAAATGAACAATCGTGAAGAAGCCAGGTGACAAGGATAGCACTGGAGCAAATCGACTCAGCTGTCGCTACAAGAGTTACAGCGAAATGTCGGCTCAATAACCCCAACTAAATGCGGGCAGTGGTTCCGTTTTATGCAGACATACCTGCCTTGTTGTCTAAACAGAGAGTAAATTGAAGGATAAATAAGTCAATACATTTTTATTTCTTAACAGTGTGCGAACACGCAGTCTTTCTCCAAGTTCTAATCGCTCTTTGTTGGTTGTTAATGTTGTTTCGCACCGTGCTATTATTTGTCCATAAATGCTATGGTTTGTCAGTTCGTGCTATTAACGTTACATTCCGTGTGTACGAATGTCCAAAGGTGCTATAGATTGCACCTTGATGCTATTGAATGTTCATGCATATATTAATCGCACTATTTAAAGTTTACTCCGCTTCAATGAAGTTTAGTATGGCGTTAATGAATGTACAATGATTTTATTGAACCAACGCTCGACACAAATGAATGAATACTTTGCGTTAATGCCTAGCAAAAGGTGTAATGACTCTAAGCAGCTTGAGATGTCTTAAGCATTTGATGCTAAGCTACGCGGAATGAACAAGTAAAAATTATCGCCTTTGCAGTTTGATAAGGACGGGAAACTCTCTCGAAGATGATAACAATTCTTCTCCGAGATTTTTGCGCGCGAACTCTAGACTCTAATGCGCACGCTTAAGGGTGCATTTAAGCGTTTCAACACCGAGGATTGGGAAAATACTTCATCCCTCCTCCCGCGTGGATGGAAAACTTCAGTAGTGTTTCAAGTGTTAAAATGCTTCTTTCAAATTTGTTGGACGTGATGTGAGCGAACTTAAGCGAAGTTCAAAAATACACAGATAGCTTGTTACAGAATCCCCATGGCAATAGGTGTGGATTTCCTAGTTTACGCATTAAAATGTCTGTAAATAAGGTTGGATAGTTCATTATTCTGAAAAAAAATTTTTTATGTAATTAGTCTACGAGTGGGAACTGAAAAAAAGGCAAGTCTGTCCATCAAATAGTCAAAGGGCGGCATGTCGAAGCAACGATTTTCTCAAGTTTCCTTTTTCTTCTCTTTCAAGTTTCCTTTTTCTCTCTCTCTTTAACAGGATATTTTGGATGCACTAAATAACTGACACACGACAGTCTCAAACAATATTTCCGAAAGATATACTAAGAGTATATGATGAGATATCCTTCTTATTATTGTAACATTACTTTGTGTAAATAAATGATATGTTTCTAGAGCGAAAACATAAGTTCTATAAATTCGAAGACCCTATTTCTCCTTTTGAACTGGAGTAATCCTTCTAAAAAGTAAATAAAAGAACAAAATGTTTCCTTAAACAAGAGACGATCCTCTCTTGAATAACTTTCGTGTACCACGCCAGGTATAGAGTCTGTCCTTCAAAGTTAACAATTCGAAATAGTGACAGAAAACATTTGCGATATTTTTCTAATATTGCCAATGTGAATCTCTGCGAAGCAGGCTGGGTCATATTTAAATGAAAGACAAATTTTGACCATCTTCTAAGAGCATGTCTGGTATAAACTGAGCTTGTAGAAAAGCTAATTCAACTTCTTACATAAAAAAAGAGATAAAAAAATAGAAAAAAAAAACTAGTGTTCATCACAAAAAACTGTTTTCCTCTTAAAAAGTTGAAGTTCAACCTCAGCAATGTTCGTAATTTAATCAAAGTCAAAAATATCTTCACCTGTTAAGATAGTAATATAGTGCGATTATTGCGCGCGGTGAATGCATGTTTTTTGAAAAAGGAGCAATTCTGGATAAAACTACTGAGGACAGGGCCACTTATTTCTATCTCATTAAATCACCACACATCCTATTGTGTTCTGCATTCTTCAGAGCATGCCCATAGAGTGGACCTCAGTGGCCCTGTATTCTGTAGTTGCTCCAAATTCTGGTATTTCATCAATATCTATATAATAACGAAGCCTCATTTTGTAACTTCTTACTTATTTCAAAGCAATCACTACTGATATCACTACTGGGTAGCACCACTGTAAACAAGAGAATATTACCACTTCCGGAACGACTTTCTACACGCGCGTCCTCTGTGGTTCCGCCAATGCCTTCAAATATAGCCCCTGTTTATTCTCGGACTCTTTTAGCTTAATGTTTCTGTTCATATCTATGCTATTCAGGCTGTAGAACTATGAGAGGCAGCTGTCTTCGAAAACTTCAGATAATAGCCCGAAAAATTCAAGAAATAACTCTTAAAGAAATATGTTATGCTTTAAAATTTCCATATTTTTCTTTCATTATGACTAAGAAAATAGCTGTAAATTGTTCATAACTGCAACCTATATTCTTTTGGAAACCGGCCAAAGCCAGAGGAGGACCAGCAAGGGTGCTATTATTTGTTTTCGTTGGAGGACGCCAAACGGTTTCTCCAGTGGCGGAGATAATCCAAAGCATTGATCCACCTAGGGAAAGGGAACAATAACAGGAATAAAATTAAGGAAGAAAATGGTCTTTCGCTTTCGAAATATCCTCGTAATTTCTAATACATAGCGACGCACAAGTGACACCTTCAAATGCCATGGTCGAGTCGCGGCAAACCAATTCTAGCACAAAAAAATTAACAGACTCAAGGCAGAAGTTTTAACGTCTGTCAAAAGTTTAGTACAACGTTAAGTCCCCAACAAAGATTTGACATTCACTCAGTTGCGATTCCGCAATCACATGATCTGATGATTAAGTAGCGTGGAGTTAGTGAGCAAGCTAAGCCACAGGTTTCCCAGATTTACTTGTGACAATCGCCCTGTATGCAGCTACGATCCGCAGTACCAAGAGCCTCCCGTGTTTCATCTATTGAAAAAAGAGAAGCGTCGAATATTCGAGCATTCGCGCCTCCGATTTCGCGCTCGGATGACCAATCAACCGAGTAACATGAAACCTAGAGTTGATTATCTGAGGAAAATGGTGAACGAGCTACACCCTCAGACATAATAATATAAAGGAAAAAATTCTGATTGATTGGCTGAAAACGAATGCATTCTCATGTGACACGAGAGCGAAGTTGTAACACGTTTGCAAAGTTGTAACAGGAGTAAAAATTACAAAGCGCGCGCTCGCTTTCTTGCAATTTTGTTGTCTTTAAAAAATCTAGTCGTGCTTATGAACACCAAATTGCACTCGAAATCATGTTATTACCTATAATGATTTGTTGGTTCACCTCATTGAAACACCACTTGCACTGTTCTCTGTTCATTGTTAATTGTCATTTTGTACGCGGCATTTTGGAGACTAAAATTGAGAGCAGCAGCAAAAGCACTTAGTATCCCAACTAATGAATTTGGGCGTGTAAGCCAACGTTTAGTTGATCGTGTATTTGACAAGCATCACACAGATGGTCTGTTCGGAATCAAGCGAAAAAAATTTCCTGAAAACCGTGGCCCAAAACACCACAATGCCAATCGAAAGGTTCGACTCGTATTGGGGGCATCGTACTTCTTATTTGTCCGAGTATACCTGTGTCATTCCCTGACAACATCTTTCTTAGAATATCATATAAATAGGTAAACAAATAAATAATTAGAACAAAAAGATACAAAATAGAATAAAATTCAGAATAAGGCGTTCCGTACCTGAGCTTTTCCTGTTCATCGTGTGCCATAAGCTCGTATGTTCTTGTGGGAGTCACCACATTGAAGCAAGCATTGTTGATGTCCTGCAGCGAGGGAGGCTGGTCTTGGACGGCAATAATTACATCAAGATCTATAAAGCTACATAAAAAACGAAACAAATTTACATTTGTGCCACAATTGGCAATACGTCGCAATTTGATTGGCCGATTTTCCGTCGTCGATAAGAGAACAGATATCGCTGCTCGCAGCAACGTGTCACGCAATGCTTTTGATCAGCTCTCAAACCTGGATGATTAGGAAATTTATCCAAAGTTAACGTCGATATTTTGGCAAAAAACAAATCGAAAGTGGTTTAGCGTGGTCTGTACTTTTGTCGACAACGACATTTGTCATCACAAGTCCACAACATTTTTATCACTGCGATGACGAATATCTTTATCTATAAGAGTACAGACCATGCTAAACGTATGTCGATTTGTTAAATTATCGGAGGAATCCTAAAGACCAGACTGATTGTCGAATCAAAACTTCAGCAGTCTGCGGTTCCAGGCATTCAGTTAGAAAAATGGACTTAATAGTAGTAGCGGAGCGAAGCTCCCTGGTTTTTTTCGCTCAACCAATACTATCGCACTTCGTTTCACTGACTGAATGTTTGGAACAAGTTATAGCTTCTGTAGTAAATAGCGCCAACTTTGGGGAAGGTAAAGTGATCGTCCAAGAGTGGGTAGCCCCAAAAAGGACTGCTTTCGTTGACGATTACTTAAGTTTAGAGAACCTGGTAAGGGGTCATAGTTAGAGTTCACTAAGCACTTCCAATAGAACTAGCCGTTTTCAGTCGAATAGCGATAGAATATGGCTGGCGTAGCTGGTGGTTTTACATACACGGCGAAGTCGCTATAGGCTTGGGACACGTCACCAAGCGCACGAAAACTGTCAGGCTCACATATAACCGCCAGCTACGCAGCGGACAGAGGATTGGAAAGAGGAATAGGGATTACTCGTGACAATTAACTATAGGATTTGGTTGTGCCTGTAAATACAGATTTGAAGAATCGTCTTCCTTATACCAAAGGTACCTACCCTCTTGGTGATGTGTTGTTATTTTTTTGATAATAGTAGAGCCTGCTATCCTTATCAGTTGAAAACCAGCGGCGTCTCCATTTCCGTCCCGTGAGGCCTTTCACGCCTCTCTTGCATAACCAGCCACGGACTTCACACAACTGATAAAGCAAAAAATTTACAACAAAGTGCAAAACAATAACATGGCGAATAAACATAGCAATAGTTTTGATTGCGTCTTGAAAGCCTTAAGGGTCCCTTCATGACAAAAATAGAATAAATGACCTATGGCCTTTTAAATGCGAGGATGGTGCGTTTCATTTTAAGAGGAAATGTGTCACAAGCAGGAAAAAAGAAATGGAGCTTCATGTAAGCATTAGCGAGGATGCTGAACAGATCTTACCTTTGTTTTCGGTGCATTCTTTTTACCTCCCTGCGTCAGTAAGAACATTGGCAGCCCGTTAAAAGTTTCATACACAAAGCACACATTTCATGTAAGATAGATGCATGAGTAAGGAGGGAGAGTGGAGAATATAGAAACACCTAGCCTGTTCCAGGCGTTCAGTTAGTAAAATCGGAGCGACAAAGTACGCGGCGCAATAGTATCGGCGGAGTGACATTGTTTTGGAACAGTAAAAAAAACATTGTTTTTTCGCTCTTCCGCGACTATTGTGCTGTTTATTATTCAATTGCGCTTCGTTTTACCAACTTAACCCCCCGAGCAAGGTACGAAAGAGTTGGCTACTATCAAAGAATCTCACTTCATAACTTGCTGTTGTAACTTCCTTTTCCGACGTGTCTGTCAATTTGGATTCTGCCTCTCCAAGCTTAACAACAAAAAAATGTGTGAATATTTACAAGAAACTATAAACCCTTTCTTTAACCCTTTAACTCCCAGATCAAATGTGCAATTCTCCCTACTATCAACCATACAATTCTTATAATGTTAGTTCAAATAATTTAGTATTGGATCAACTAATTATCCCCAAATTGATCTCATTCATCATTCTCATCACTTATATGGTTGGTATTGTATAGATATTGTAAGGAGAAATTCTGTCTTGGTCACTCATGGGAGCTTAAGGGTCAATACATCATCTTATTTAGACTCCCCAATCGACATGTTCCGGCCTAACTACAACATTGATTAAAAAAAGAGACTGATAAAGAAAAGTAATTTAATCTATAATACATAAATGAGAAGTCAACTACTACAGAAAACTATAGGATCGGGTTAATTTCTACTGAAAAAACTAAACTTCTTAGGTGATCCCTTAAGCTGTGTTTAAGAATTGCCATGTTTGAACGACTCCATCATTCGGGTGGTACGGAGTTCCACATTAATGGCACTCTAAACACTTTGGGAGGTTTACGCTGTTGGCAATCCTTCTATCATAACTGTGGGCTTCAGATCTCTTTTGAAACATATTAAAAAAGTAACTTGATGCCTGATTGTTCTGAACGTTTCAGATTCTAGAGGAAGCTTTAACTTTTTACTGTTCCAAGTGGAGGGATAAAGTTATTCCATATGTACCTGCATCCTCAAGTCTTCAACTAACATTTGCAGCTCGGTAATTTCTGCCTGTAATTCATCCCTTTCCCTGGCAAAGTCTGACTTTCCGAATTCCGCCATTATCCCCAGCTGTTCCAATTCAGATTGCATGTCCGTCTTCTCTTTTTCTAAGTCGGTTACTTTGGTTACAAGCTTTTGATAAGCGGCTCTCAAGTTCATGTTATCTTTCTCAAGTTGCCTACACAAGGGAAAGAAAATACCTACCATAAATTTTGGTATTTGAAGAATTGACTAACTAGGCGTAGGGGCTCTCAAAGAAAACGATTCCTAGTTATAATATTATTTACAAATAATACTGTAAATTTAAATTGGAAGATTTCTTGTCCCTGGTATCTCGAACTACCCACTATCTCGAAGCCGAGGTAACTCAGACACCAAACGCAACCCACCTTTCGTATCACAAACTTATCGATCTCCCAAATTCTTAAATCCATTGAAGGAAAAAAAAAACACAATAATACGACAAACAATAAAAACTTCTAAAGTCAACAACCAAAAAGACTCAACAAAAAAGTCAAAAAAATAAGTTGAATGAAAAGGACGTACTCGACTCTCAGTTGACTATCGCCATCTTCATGAGGATTTTCCTGCAGCCAATCAGAGACTCTCTTTTCACGAGTTTCAGAAGGCACGGTCTTACGAAATAAAAAATGAACAGATGAGCAAGTAAATAGTTATGCATCACCTCTTCCTATCATATCTTCGAGGAATGCAGTAACTTGTACTGTTGTGCGAGTAAAACTCCTTGCAGTTCCAGATTTCTACTCTTTTGCATTGGCCGTCATGAGCGTGGGAAGTAACAAAGGATTAGGCTGGTGTTGTTTTAGTATGCTCAGTAGACCTGTCTGTCATAAATGGCAGACCCTTTCTACATTGAGATAAGTGAGCCGTTCAGACTACGACATGTTTTACCTAAAAGCGAGGTAAAGAAGGCTAACTTGCTCGCATAAGGACGAATAACATATCATGCATACCAATGTCAAGAAAGGTAACGGATTAGTCTAGAAAACTCATGCCACCCTCTCGACCAATCAGACGCAAAACTAACACCAATCCCTTGCGAAAGCGTTTTGGCTACTCTATGATTTTGTTTCCACGATACCCGTCCAACAGCGCTCTGCCGGCAGAAAAGTTGACTTGAGGGTTTAGGAGTTCATCAAAAAGGGAAGAGGCTTAAATGCGTTGAAATTATCCCAGTTTTAGACCATAAAAGGACTTGTAGTATCACTTATCAAATGGCAGTTGAGATTGGCATACCTCAATATTTCCTGGTAGCTCTGCGGACGAAGAGTCTGATGACCTGCGCTGAGGAGAAAAATCACAGATTACATAAGTATTGCAAAAAAGAAGTGAGATTGGAATAAACCATTCCATATCAAGTATTCAAGGAGTATATCAACTCAGTTGATAGAACCAGATTTGTTGTAATATCCCCCACAGACGCAGCACCACAGTTTCCTTAGAAACTTGCTTTAAGCAAGAAGGTCTTCTTACCGTTCTTTGAAGCTCAATAATCGTACAATTTTGTCAACAATTTACCTTGTTCTTTCCAGAGAATGAAAACTGAAACTTGTTTTTGAAAGAACTCAGTGACGACATCGCTGAACTCGACAAGTTGATGGACATGTCCTCTAGGTCTTCCTCCCCATCCTCTTCTGGTATCGTTGATTCTTTTAAATCTTCAAAGGCGGCACTGACAACTTTTCTTCTGTCTCTGTCTCTTTCCAAAAGTTTGCTGCGTTTGGTGTCTGCTTCTTCTGACGCTGTTTCTTGGGATGCGTGTGTAATTTCCTTACTCGTATCATCTGCATAGCCTACAAAAAAAAGCAAATTTAACATCGTCAACCTTGAAGTAACATGAACATGAAAAATCTCGTGACTGACAAGCATATGGTTCTTTTAATTATGTATCAGAGAATTTAATTATTTATCACTTCAAAAAATTGACCTAACTTTTTTTTCTTCAAAGAACCTGTTACAATTTGAAGGGTTCGAACTTTCTTTTGAATTCAAAGGTGCGCGAGGAAATAAAACGACCCTTCAAATTTATTTTTTTCAGAGGGTGACGGTATCAAATTGAGGTTTGTCATTTTTGTGAAGGGTTTAAGTGGGAAGGACAACCGAGACACGTTGGAAATTAAGTCACCCCAGACTGAACCAAAGAAATCCCAAATTAGACTAAGTTTTATTACCTTGGTTGTTACCGCTGACCGTAGCATCTGCAAGGGGATTTCCCAGCATGGCCACATTTCTGTACTCTAGTGTTTTCATTTCATCAATAAATCGAGACCATGTGCTGTGGCCAGAAGAAAATAATGAGTATAATATGGAAATGGATCCCTATGAAATAGTCCATTTGTCTTAATCGGACTCTTATTGGCTCGTAACAGGTATTGTCCTTGTGCACTCAAAAGAAGGAAGGGTTAGATTTGTTGCGTATTTGCGTATATTGCGTACTGTTTTCTGGATCCTGTAGACACATAAGACTCACTGGAATAGTTTAACATACCCAGGCAGGGCGTGAAATTAATTTTTTTTTCCTGATAGCCACTTGGCTCCTATATTCTTGAAAGAGGTAGCCAATTCCAAAAAAGTTGGTCGCCATTTTCAAAGACAAACAAAACCTTTTTTTACGCTGTCAGCGTTCTAAATTGATCATCAAAAATTAAGTTAGGAAAAAGATCTTTAACGAGCTACAAAGTGGACACTAGGATGGTTGATATACAAAGTTTAAGCTCAACTAAATCCAAGATGGCGTCCAGTTATTGATGGGGATGCATGTGCTGCGTTTTGGAAACAAACTTTACGAGGAAGTTTGCCGCGGATTTATCTTTGCAAATCTTTTTAATTCACTTTATCTCTTGGAAAGGTTATGATAAAACATTCTAGTCGCCAATTTGGCGACTAATTTTCAGGATTTGGTCGCCAAAGTGAAAAATTTAGTCGCATTGGCGCCTGTATTAGGCGCAATTTCACGCCCTGCCAGGGAGGGTCACTCTCTTTTGAAAGTTTTTGTTAAGCAATTGCAGCCTGTAAAGGTGTGGTTTTGACCAATCTTAGTTAAGTTGTGCATAGGTTACAAATGTTTTGTCCTAACATTGCAAAACACAAGGTTTGGAAATAGGTATGTTTTGTAGCAGATGTAGGAAGACAGGAAATGAAAAGAAATCTGTTGAATTAGGGGGGGATGTGGGTCACACAAGCATTACATTTTTACAGCCATAAACTAGAAAAAATTCTTTGGATAAATTTTTGAAGCAATTAAGTTCTACCAAGCCACACATAATTGTGGTACATCAAAAATCTTGTTCTAACGTATAATACCCCTAAGTTAAGCAATGTCATCACTCATCTTAGTTAAGTGTATGTGCAATGAAGACATCACATCCTGATTTTTCAAAGGGTGGATAAAGCTATCCGCTGAATTAATTTCTATTCAGTGGACAGTGCAGTACACTTTGTTAACACTTGTCCTCTAGCAATTTGTCCATTGAATAGCATTATTTGCCCTGGAACAACTGGAGCCAGGCTAGGAAGGAAGCCATTGATAACACCTAAAGTCATGGCTGTTTCAACAAATATCATTGTCAATTGCAGTTGTCCTTTACTTATGACTTACTGTTTAGAACGGTCAGCCAATTTATTTGATTCCCTTGGTTTACTGTTTTCTTCTTCTTCTTCTTCTTCTTCCTCCTCCTCATCACTACATTCTGCCAGTTCAGACAACCTTGACTTGAATTCTGCCTCACTAAGATGACTAAAGTTGCTTTGCATATCATCCTCACTTTGAAATGACGGAAAGGAAAAAAAATTATTAGAATCATTTTTTTATTTAAAAAGACATAATCAATAACAAGATTTTTCAAGCAAATGGTATTTAATTTAAAAAAATGCAAAAACAAAAAGCAAATGAATGGAAAATGAGTGAGGCTCATTTTCATGGTCTTGGGTTTTAACAATTCCATCGGTAATACCAGTAATTATTTAATAGTAACTTGAACCCAAGTCTCAACCTCTAAGTGATGCTCTATGCCAGATTGTTTACACAAAATTGTTAAATACGTAGTGGACACAGTAGAGGTCAGTTTTGTTTCTGAAAAAAAAAAGCCTAAAATTTGAAAGGAATAAGAGGAAATTCATAGGGTACAGTGGATGTCTAAGGAAAGAGTTTCTGTCAAGGAATTACTACATTTCAGCAAAACCATGTTTTTCCCTGTCCAGGGGCCCCTAACAGTTTCTCTCTAAATAAATCAAAATTTATCAACCCTTTCACCCACTGAGAGTGACTTTCCCCTTAAAGTATCACTGTCTGCTTAATTTAATGAAACATGAAGTTCCTTTAATAATAGAAATGATCACTGATGAAAGAAGTTCATGATCAAAACAATTATTTTATCCTAGTCAATTACCAGAAAAAATTTAAAGACAACAGTATAGAGAATATGCATTCTGATGTTAAGGTGTAAATGGTAAATATGCAAAGAACTTACTCTGCTCTTCCCTCCTTAATAAATTCACATCTAACTTTTGCTCCAATCCTTGCAGATACAATCTTCTTGGAGAGGGGTTTGAATTCCATCTCCAAATCAAATCTAAACTCATATATAGAAATGCTAACTGTTATTAAAATTCCAAAGAGATCTGAGGAGTGTGGGAGATCCTTGCAGAAGAATGGGTAGACATCACAAAGAAGCATACTTTAGGGGTTCACTTAAAGCCCATTAGCAATGGTCTGTTGCCCCCTGAAAGACCACTGACATCTCTTTAGCCTGTAAGCAGGATCTCAAGTTTGGGTTTTGCCTTACAGCACAGCTACCTATTTCACCATAGGCAACAGCTCATGAAAAAAGTAACCCCCAGCACTTGATAGTTACTTACACAATGATAACTGATTGAAAACTTGATGTGACAATTATAATGGCCATACTTCTCTACTCTCTAACTATTTCCAATTTTAATTACTGTTTTTCAAATAATTAGGGACCAAAGCATCATACACTTACACTTCCATGTCAAGAGAGGCATACTCTGCCATGTTACAAGGGAAAATAGCAAGTTTCTTCCTTGCATCTGCAGTAACCTAAAAATAAATTATACTACACATGACTATTGAGCAAAATGTTCCTTGTGATAATTCCTTGTCTTGTTTATATGCATTAAATGTAATTTAACAGAGTTAACAATGAAGAGGATCAGTGTTCTGTAGTAGTCAGCCATTTTTGTATATGCACATGCATTGGATGATTCCATGTACTCTTCGTTTGAGGCGTTCTTGCATGTGCTTGGCACATAGACTTCTGTGTTGTTTCAAGTGGCAGCTCATTGTCCCCACCCCTTACCTCCCTCTTTCCTGCAGACCTGCTGTAATACTCTGTATAAAAAAAATATGCTGGCTACAAATAGGTCACAAGAAGACTTACATTTTCAAGGACAAACATGTAGTCTTTCTTCCTAAACATGACTCCAGTAAAATCCTGAAAATTTATGACAGTCAAATTTAGGCTGAGCTCATTATACATCTTATACATGCTGATATCAAAATGTACCCAATTTAGTTGCCATCTAATCACAAAAAAAAAAAAACAAGGCTGTGTACCAATTGTTGCAGCAAACCTGCAATCTCATGGCTTTGTTGGAATAAAGCCCCAGCTGACTTCTGACACAAAATCAAATTCTCCTTGTGTTTGACAAAAGAATACAAGTCTGCTAGGAATGAAAACTAGCAGTCTATTAGAGATCACTTAGGGCATTGTTCCTCAAACTTCAAAATACCTTGTAAAGCGTGACAACCAAGTCCACGGAGTTGGGTGGAAACCAGTTGGCAGCATAACTAACAATTCCTGTCTTTTCATCAGTAATTGACACTTTTGAAGTGGGCTGTTGACAAACACACAAAAAAGTAATGTTATATTTTGATGATCCTTAATTCTACTAAACAAATTTCATGGATGACAAAATTGGTTGACAATTGTATCACACAAAACACTTCTTTTGATTCTGAATATCAACATTTCACTGTGTAAAATTTACAGCAGTTAAAAATGGAATTATTTCTCCCTCCCTCCCCAATTATCAGACTAATCACCAAACTTATCTATTCACTGTTTTATGGCTACCTGTTCCACATTCATGATCTGAGGTTTTGTGCTCCTATCTCATGACTTTACAATTTCTTATAAAACTAATTTTGAAAAAAGAGTTGATGCTTGTCATTTTAATGTCTTACACCATCTAGCTGATAGTAAAATCTTTTCTCATACTGAGCCCTTGCTAAATGATCATTAATTGTGTAAAGAGAAGTAAAATGTAACTCCTTGTAGAATATAATTTGATACAGGAGCTAAGAATTTGTTGGACATTCTCAATACTGCCAATATAAAATCAATTTCTAAAAATTGCTTGTAAACAGTAAGCTCAAATATAAGACTTCTTTTCTGCCTAGAGTTGTCAGAGTCCAGTGAACTTTACCATTAGTGCATGCGACATACCTTCTCTGATACTTTGGAACGGTGACTTCTGAACCAAACAATGCTCAAGCAAGAAGGCTGCCTGTTAATATTTTGAAGGCCAATTAGATTTAACCCTTTAACTCCCAAGATCTCATCAGTAACTCTCCTTAGTGTCTGCCAAATGATTCCCACAATGTTAGTGTGGAGAATTTGGTATCGGATCAATAAGTAAATCCATAATTGATATTTTTCTTTATTCTCATCACTTGTCTGCATGATACTGTATAGATATAGTAAGGAGAAATTCTGTCTTGGTCACCCATGGGAGTTAAAGGGTTAAGGAAATTAAACATATGGGTAAATTAATAAAATATGAGGGTATTTTGATCATATGTGCACCAGTCGCCTTGATTAATACTCTCCCAATGTAGATTGTATCTAATTTAGAAGGAACAACAAGACTTTTCCTGAATAGTTTGAGATCATTTTGAGGAAATTTTTAAATTTCAAAGTTACAGATATTGACCGTTTTTATGCTAGATACGTTAAAGTTGTCTTAGACAACTTAAACTTCTCTAGCATAAAAACGGCCATTTTATGGAAGCCAGGATTGAGATGACCCTGTCACTGACTAAACCTTGTTTAACCATTTGTAGCTTGTTCATTCCGTTGATTCAAAACTCGCGTTAAACTATAACATGTGTTGCAACGTGATAGTTCGACAGCAAAGAATACTTGCATTGTAAATAAGTCTGATACGGCTATAGTATTAATGTTACAATAATTGACAAATTGGAATAGCCGAGCAGGAGGCAGGCTAATCAGACTAACATGAATACCAATTCGCTACAAATACCAGAATCAATTTAATAACAAAAACCGTTTAAATATCAAATGACTGTTCATTAGAATATTAAATAAATCCGAAACCCGCTTCACAACAATTATCGACACCTATGGAAGAAATTCGCGCTTTTCGCTATCTTTAATTCTCGCCAACACCGTTAACAAGCGCAACGAAAAGTGCTACAATCAAAATATTATTTAATAATTAACTCTTTCTCCAAGTTTCCTGCATCAACACGTATCGCGGAGGCTTAAAATGAAATCCAAATCAATTGAAATTTTAAATACGGAAACAATAATTCAAATATAGTAAACAGGACTGAGTGGTCTCCTATTAAATTTTGACACTATTTTCTTTGTCGAAACCGTCCATAAAATCGAACTGTCAACAGATAACCGGTGTCGGCGCGGACTCAAAACCTTTGGAGACATTCCAAAGGATCGAACGTTTTGACAACTAAGCTTGCCTTTGATATTGGCTTGATTGAGGGTAAACACAGGCTACTTTACTATTACAGAATCGTACTTAAGATCGCACTTACCATCTGTTGTTGCATTTTAAGTCGACGTATTCATAAGTGACTGTGAATCGAAATTTGCAGGCTTTCCCCTTTAACGATTTTGAAAAGGACTTTCTAACACGGTTACGAACGCTCATTGCTGTTATATTCTGAAGCAGGCGACAATTATCCAACTATAGTCGTATCCTATTTTTAACAACTAGCTAACGGCCTCATATAGGCTGGAAATCTACTCTTTCAATAGATTTCTGGGTATCACTGTTTTGATTTCCGCAGTAACATCCATCGCGCATATTTCAGATGATTTGACATTTGAGCGAGGTTTATTTCCGACTCCAGCGTCAAAATCCCGGATGACGACCAATTAGGCGGGAGGGGCGGACCTCAGTCTAAGCGGCAAAAAAATCATGAAGGCGTTTAAAACTGCAACTTTTTATTAAACTTTGCTTTGATTTTTTTTGGTTTTTAAATATTTATCGAAAGGATTAAGATAGGTAAATGAACGAATCTTTTGTCTCAATCACGATGTGTAGTCAGGCTATCAAATGTATTGATCACGACACGTCGCGCTCAATACATTTGATAACTTGACTGTACATCGTGATCTAGACGAACGATACGTTCATTTATCTACAAACCACGAAAAACAACAACATTTTATATGGAATTTCAACACATTCCTGGCGGGTAAAAAACTGATTCATGACTTTTTCCTTTTAAAATAGCGCACACGCAATCTTATTTGAGAATGTGAAAATTTCCCTTCCACACGTATTATCAGGAGCTGTTTACAAGAATTGAAAAGAGGACACAGAGATAAAGGCGTTCTCGTTGTCCTCAAAGCTCTTAAACCCAAACCTTATCGGGCAGTTGAACGTAAGTAAGTTATTGAGGGTGGAATTTTATGAGTTACGTTGCTCATATTGCTGTTCATTGTAGAAAAGAGATCAAATATTCTGCATTTCTAGTCAGCTGTAAGTCATGGGAGACGTCTAAATGTGGTAGGTACATCAATTGCACTGTAGTTTATAGCTTGTATGTCACATATTTGTCCTTGCCACACATATGGGATGAATTTAAGCAATAAACACAATTTTTCGAGCTGTATCACCTTATGGCGCACAGGCTGGAACGACTGTGTGACGTGACGAGCCTGACAACTTCTGGGTAGGAAGCTATGCAGTAGGGTACCTACCTGATACACAGCAATGCTCTTTTGTAGCCTTTTTCAATTTTTGTCAGCGACTTGTTTGGTTTTCTTGTTTTTTCTTTTATTTTTATTTTGCTTGTGCGTTTGTCTAAAATTTTGATATTTTAAGAACAATTTTGAGTTGGGTGAGACGGCCTTTGCATGACTTTATAACAGGTACGTTGGTTAATCGACATTTAGAGAGAAACCAGGAGATTTTAACGCCTTTGCGCAATTAAATATGAAAACAAGCCTTTCACAGGTTGAGTAACGGATTATGGAAGGACTGATATTTGGGCAAGCTAGGTCACTATATTTATCAAAAGAAATAAAAAAAAATTGTAAGTTTATCAGACTAATAAAAACTGTTACAGATAGCCTTCGAAAAGAGAACAATCTCCTACATCAGTTCCTGCTATCCATTTTTCAATGGCAATCGCTTAAGACTTTGGCGAAATTTAAATAATTTTCCAAATTGTTCTCCTGTATTCATAACTTGATGTGAAGATGTGATATCGATGTGATGCAAAGCAATCTCTATCAGGACTTAGATAATCTCTATTATTGGTTTCGTGATAATAAACTTATCTTCAAGCTCTCGGTCAATGGTTCTCCCATCTACACCATTACATGTTATAGGTACCTCGGTGTTCATTTGGACCCGACACTTAATTATGACACGCATTTTCATGAAATGCACAAGAAGGCAGCAGCAAGAGTGAACCTCTTCCGGCGTATCCGTTCTAGTAATGATACCTCCAGCGCCCTACGAATTTACCAATCGATGATTATGCCAATACTTACACATTGCGGTTATAATGGTCTTGGATGGTCAGAGTCCCGCAAACGCATGATCCGCTTTATTGAGACCAGAAGCCTCGAAATAATTTCTCCTAAATGCAGTCCACAGAACTGTGATCTTTAATTTTTAACAATTGACAATTTTTCACAGAAGAGAGCGTCCTCCTTTGTATTTGACTGCCTTAATGGAACCGTATGTCTCCCATTAAGGAACTGCTTCTAACGATTACATCATAACGCGTTCGATACTAGAAACAATGGGAAAACAACAAAGCTACCAGGGGTCACACTGGATTTTGCGCGCCTTAGTTTTTATTTTTTGGGTGCCTCGATTTTTAATTCATTACCTCAAAGTTTGAGGAAAATTAACTCTAGAGTATTGTCTAGGAAAACCTTGGACGATTATTGTGATTTCTACTGTAGTTTCAGTAGTTTTTAACTAAGTGTCTTTTGTATTTTTGGTACTATCTTTTATATATTTCAATAATTTCTTATTTCTTGGTTTTTAAGTCTTAATCAGCAGGACCCCGTTGATAACAGTACTTTTTTAATGAAGGATTATCCTGGAAAAGTATTTGTATTATTATTATAATAACAATTATTATTATAATTGCTATTATTATTATTACTGTCCCTGTCTCTCATCTACTTAAATCCTCTGGTCACTTAAGTATTTTAGGCTATTATCAGTGATACAAAGGAGCGAAAAACTCATGAAGCTATTTCTGACGCTATCACGAACTCGTTACCTGTTCTTTAAAAGGTTCAAAAACCTCATAATGCCTTGAGTACCCGAAGTTTAAAACATATAAGCTACTCTACAAGGAAAAAGAAATTACAAAGTTACAAAGTTTCATATTTTCCTGACTGAATTTTTACAATTTCTGTACAACGTTAGGAGCCCATTAATGGGCTCCTGACAACGTAAATCATTATATGAAAACTAACATCAGAAATTCAAAAAAAGCAATAATAAACGAATATGTCATCTCGAGCTAGGTTTTTATATAAAAAATTAGCCCTTCATTCAAATATTTGGGTTAGATGTTTAATCTAAACTATTAAATTAAACACTAAAACAAGGTAATTTGGAAAAAAAAATTAAATACAATTCTATCTGAAAAGCTGCATTACATTTCATTTGTAAGAAAACAACCCCGACACAAACAAAATTGTTTTTATTTTTGTTCTTTGTTTTCAACTGTCACACCTTTTTTGATATATGCGATGTGCGCAGCATAAGGATTGATTGCTTGCCATTTGTTGTTACTGCCTCCCCAGCCATAATGCAGATAGAACTCGTACTTGTACACTTTCCTCCAGCTGCAAAATCGACAACGACGAACATTTCTATATCATGCTTTGTATTTCCTACCGACAGCAGAATGACCGCCTCCCGGTTCGAGGTGAAAGCTCATTACTACCGGATAACCAACTTTCATGAAACTTTGGGCAGCTCGGAATTTAATCCAATACCTAGTGTTAGTTCGAATAACGTCACCTCCTTTTTTACGAGACTTAATGAGGTAACAAAGCGCTACTGCCCTGGACTCCTGGCGAGCTTTGAACCGGGACTGGATTCGATGATGCCATTCATACCAATTTGCGCCTTCACCGTTCCTGCAGATAGTTCCAAGCGTCGATCGAATATACCTTCTACAAAACGTCTTACGCTGTAGGACATCAACTTTGGCGATTCCATCCTCTTATCGCCGTATATGTTGCCACTGACTATTGAGGTCTTATGGCGGTTGGATCCAAGGCCGAAAGATGAAATTGGCTTGCTCATTGAAACCTAATGCTGTGTTTCCATGGTAGTCCTATATGTACAAATAAAACTTGTTCAGATACATCTAGGCCTTTTTTTTATATACGATTTACAATTAAACGATGAAAGAAACTATTGAGTGTGGCAGTGTCAATCCATTGAAGAACCCGCGTTTAATGGATTGAAGCATTTTTAGCTGCAGTACTTTAAAGTGATAAGCTTAAATTCTCCAGCATTGTTTTATGCACACTCTCCTGTTTAATTTTCGTGCGCTGTTATGGCCAAAATTAGCATGCGCTCTTTTCTGGAGAGATCGAACAGGACTTATCCATTGGTTAGGAGAAGTAAAGAAAACAATAAATTGCGAGCTTAAAATTTCCATGTTTATTATGCCTTATTAAAAATATCTATAACAGTTTCAAGCAGATTCATTTTTCTCTAGAGAAAACTAGCCTCATTTCCTGCTTCCGACGAAAATTACTATCAGCCGCACTCGAGGCGTTGGTAGTAAAGTTTCCAAACTATTCTCCTTAATTCAGAGGATGTTCCGTTCTCTAATCTTCTTGAAATCCGCCTTCCTTTTACATATTTCATTTTATTTTATTTAACAAATAAACTCAAGAAGTGGGGAGAAACACGAGACGTAGTCGAGTGTTTCTCCCTACACTTCTTTCGTGCTCTAGCCGCTTCCTGCGTGCGTTATAACAGAACAGAGCACAGTCAAGGCTTCTCTATTTGTTTTATAATAAAGAATCCATTAAATTCTCCAAGCATTACTTTCACAAACTTTATTTCCAAAGCGAACAACAGTGTCGTCAGCATGCTCTATACTAGCATAAAGCACGCTACAATAAGCCAATCAGAATCCCTGTTAGAATGGTTTAAATAATCTGATTGGCTGTACAAGACTAAAGCTGTCAAAAGTGTCAAACCATCAAAGTTAAAAAACCATCAAAGTTCACATTCTGCGATAGTTTACATACTGAAATAGTTCGACAGGTCGAATTTAACACTTTTGCCTGAAGTTTTTAAGTCTCTAATACAGAATCTTGAAGTGAAATGTGCGGTGAAATTCAGCCGAACTATGGCTCATAAAAACACGCGAGTTTTTTCACATGACGAGGTAGAAAACGAACTGTTCAAGGCGAGTGTTTTTTGAATGAACGACAGCCGAATTCATCGGAACATGAAGATCGCTCGGGCTCCGCAAAACTCGGCTGCAGTGTCTGATGTGACTTTCCACTCAATGAATCGGAAAGGATATCAAAGCAAGCTCTTATTTTTTCACTCGAAGGGCAGCCGATGTAGTTTCTGAGGCTTGCTTTACTGTGATAACCGGAGATCGCCATGATGAGCGAGCCGCGATGGACTTCGACATGATCATGTTCGCTCAGACACCGTCATGATTAATATGAATTTTAACAGTTATGCCAGTTTGGTTATATTTTTCATCATTTCTGTTTTGTTCTGTTTTGTTTTTGAACACCGAACTTTATATACTATACGAGTGTTAGCTGTGTTTGATTTTTATTACCGTACGTAAGCTTGCAATCTAACTGAGCGTGAAAATCTTTAAAACTCGGAATGTCTATTTTGTTTTTCCTTTGAGGATTTTCGTATCTGCTGACGTTTTAATAACGTAAATCACGGCGCCTGGTATGCTTACAAACGTTTGTTTGGTTCTTTTGTTGCTACTTGCCGGCTCGCTTGTTCCGAAATTTCACTTTCAATTATCGGAAAAAGGCTAAAAAGAAGTCCCGGAAAAGATCGAACATAGTACAGTTTGGCAGATGGCGTGACAAATTAGCTCAGCTCTATGCTCTATACTCTCATAGAGCACGCTCTTTCAGCCAATGACAGCGCACGTTATATCCGAACTTTATTATAATAATAAAAAGAGGCACGAAGAGCATTGAGGCTGTCAAGCTGTCTATGAAGCTTTCTGTGAAACGCATGGGACATAGATAAATCATATCACCAGTATCTTCACTACAGAACGAACATGCAAAAGAAAAAACGTTCAGTGGCTCTTTGTTGATTGATACACATACTTACTTTACTTCAACTCTAAATACTATCCCAAAAGATTCTCGCAGTCGTGCGTATTTTCATGTTGAATAGCAATTTGCGAGGGAGAAAAATCCATGTTAAAGCTGACGTTTTCGATTTGATGACAAATGTTACATCAACTCATATTTCTCTTAGATAAACGCTGTATCTATCACAGGCACCAAATAAGACTACAGTGTTACGTACACATATCAGAAAAACTCTTACCAAAGTATTGTTCCAACTCCGCTCGATGATTAATTTTGGAGATCGGCAGATGATGACAACAAAAACCTGCATTTGATCTCATTGGGTGGACAAAAGTGGAAACAGATACCCAATTGTAGAACGCTATTTTATAAGCGCTGCTTATAAAAGACTTTTTGATTGAAGCAATAGTATAAGTACAGTGTAAGTAATCGAATAAAGAGATGAGTGGACTTCGATGTAATAGGTAACATTAAACAAAACAACCATTAAAAAAAAAAAGCAATTCTGATACCAGAAAAACTCTTGAGCAACTCCTACCAGAGGATTTCGGTGACGTATCGCCGATCCGAACAACAACGGATCAATGAAGTTACGAGCGTTAATTTACAGAGAGAAATGTGCATCAAGAAACGTGTTTTCAACAGGTTCTTCATCCTTATTGCTGATTCCGTCCTTTTGTGTTGAAACAAATGGGAAGATTAGCTTCCCTATTTGGCTTGTGAGTTTCTTTTTATGTCCGAATTCTCGAGTATTAAACAATAACTTGATATGAAAAATACAGAAAGACTTCATTGTTACGATCAGATCCGGCTTCTTTCAGTTGACTTGAAATCGCTGGGAGATGAAAGAGTGCGGCAAAATAAGCTGGCAGTTATTAAATTGTGGTAAACCAAGCTGAAAGTAGTGTTTCCTTTTCTTTATCTTAGAGCAAAAATAACAAAAAATTTGGAAAAAATCTTATTATGATAGATAAAAATTCCGCATCAGTTTTTTATAGCAACAGTTCCAAGAAAACGTTTTAATCAGGAAGGAGGAATTGAAGGAAAACGAAGCAAAGATAAAGTTAGTCCTTGTTTGCGAAACGACAATGACTTCGTTAAAAAACTAGTCAGCGTTTTATTAAGTTAGACAGGATTGAAATTGTTTCGCTTTATTGCAGAAATTTTATGATGCACGTTCAATACGTGTAGTGATATAGTCATTAAAATTATCAGGAAGCCATTTTATAACTATAAAACTGGCGAAGGGTAAACGTGAGATTAGCCGCCAGAAAATCTAACTGAATGCTTCAGCTCCTCAAACTCCTACTAGCAGTTTCCAAGGGAGTGACTCATTGCTCAGTAATGATGAAAATTACTTTTTTTTCGTTCCACTCCCAACAAACACAGTCATAAAAATGTTAATACCTTCAGCCCATTAGACTATAAAAGTAAATGCTAGAGACGAACGTTAGTGGGGCGGAACGAGTGTGAGGAGTGGTGTTTCTTCGTTCGGTCTTTTACGAAATGTTTAAATTTTCAAATCTGCGCTGCAGCTTTTCTGTTCTCCTTAATTCAAATGATGTTCCGTTCTCAAATCTTCTTGAAATCCGCCTTTCTTTTACATATTTCATTTTATTTTACTAATAAAAAGAGGCACGAAGAGCCCCTAAGCTATCAAGCTGTCTATGAAGCTATCATGAACTCGTTACATGTTCTTTTAAATTTTAACACCTCGCGATACCATTGGCATACCACGCTAAGGCCGTAACAGTTAAGGATGTTCCGTTCTCCAATTTTCTTGAAATCCGCCTCCATTTATCATATTTTTTTTTTATTTTGTTATAAGAAAGGAGAGGTACGAGGAGCCTTGAGGCTATCAAGCAATCTATGAAGCTATCATGAACTCGTTACGTGTTCTCTTCAGTTTTAATACCTCCGCATGGAAACACAGTGAGCCTCTAATATAAACAAAAAATAGAGTTGCAGTACTTTTGTTGAAGTTGTTTTCTTTGTTTTTTACATCTTGATCAAATCGTTAAAAACCTATTATTTATGGAGAGTGCTCATTATTCCTTTGACTATTATTACTTAAAATTAAAGTGCAACCCTGAGCGATATCATGATGCATGCTTCAAGTACTGCATTCTTTTTCGGAAGGAAAGAATGGTTAAATCCGATGTAAGAGTTAGGAGCCAATTTTGATTACAAAAAGGTTGCAATATAAGAATTTGTAGTTTTTTTTTTCCAAATTACAATTATTTATCTTCCCTAGCTTATTTGTTTCGATATCTAGAATGCAAGGTCTAGTTATCCCGAGAAAAATTGATTAAAAAAATTAAAGAGAAAAACAACAGGTATTCGGCCTTAAGATCTAAACGCTCGACCGTCTATCCTATTATCTAATCAAAAAGCAAATAATAAAGCAAATATTTATAACGTGCCCATATGTTTCATTCCAAATTTCCTGTTACAAGACATTTAGAGCAATAAAAAAACAAACAAAAAAAGTATAACAAAACAAGAAAAAACAATTAAATTAAGCTTAAAAAGCCCTACAACAAAACTTAACATCGGCGAAACCCTTTATTTGAAACTTTGTTTTGAACTGTCCTTTACTTTGCAATATATGCAACGTGGGCACCGTAAGGATTTATTGCTTGCCATTTGTTGTTATTGCCTCCCCAGCCATAACGCAGATAGAACTCGTATTTTCTCTCTTTCTCCCACTGACAGTTTCTTCTTGTTCGTCTGCCCATCCACCATCCAGTCGTCCTAGTTCGACACCGACGAACTTTTTTGTACCCTTCTTTATATTTCGTGGCGACGGCTGCGTGGCCACTTTTGGATTCCACGTAAAAGCTCATCACAACAGGATAACCGATCTTAATGCAAGTCTGCGCAGCTTTCCATTGAATCCAAGACCTGTCACCTCGTCCAACGAAGCCTCTCCTTTTACGAGACTCTAGGTAGCTGGATGCTCTTGCTTTGGACCCTTGTCGAGCTTGGAACCAGGACTGGATGCGATGATGGCTGTTCACATATGTAGCGCCTTGACCATTCTCGCAGAAAGTTCCGAGCGTCCGTCGAATGCTCTCTACAAACTGTTCTACGCGATAAGTCATGTACTTAGGTAATTCCGTAGTCTTATCTCTGTATATATTTCCACTGAATATCGAGTTTATATATCGGTCTGATCCAAGGCTGTCGTAGTAACGAAAGATTTGAGCCCAGGCCACGGGACTGCATCCACTCACACAGCCACAACAGTCGTGTTGGTCATAGTCTGGCAACTCATCCTCGTGGGGAATGACTACGGTACTTACCCAACCTGAGCCACTAGGTTTCCACGCACTACGCCTATGCCGTTTGGAATGTAAATCCACAGAAAAGTGTTTCCTGATCACTTCACCATTGCGTTCTTTGATTTCAACAACAAAACTAATTTCTTTCCACTGTAAAGTATTTCCCACAAAGGTTCGATTCTCGTGCACCTCAAGATTTAGGTACAATAGATGATTTGGTGTTTCCTTTATTGCAGATGGATTGATGTTCGTGCTCCCGTCCGGCTTACACGCGTCGATAAGCACTTTACAAAGCCTTTCTTGCCATTTTGATTGTGAACCAGCCGGCAGGTCTGACTTGCCAATGTTAGTTGCGTGCAAATGAACAGATTGGAAGCGTTCACCAAGTGCGATTCTAACTAACGATTTCGGCGATAGGCCTTCCTCGGCAAAAGCTTGATCTTCCTTCACATTTCCTTCTTTGTAATGAACAGAGGTCGTGGCCCAGTCTGACATTGATCGCCCCTCTGCTGCTCGCTCTTGCCATAAGCTCTTTAGCCTATCGAGGCTTCTGTTAACCATTTGGTCCAGCTCACGCCAATTCCTTATCTGTTTGAGACAGAAAAATAACAAATTTTAATTCAGGTGGAAAAGCCAAGAACCAAGGGTTTGCATTTAATTCATTCTATCCCACCATTTTGAAACTTGAAAGCCGTTACTTGTGACAAAGCTCCTCCCTGCTCCATCGATCGATGAGCAGCTTGACTTCCGGCGATGATGACTTCCGTTAAGGTTATTGGCACGTCAGTCACTACTACCAGAAACAGCCCATCTCAGGACTACTCCAAACCAAACGATCAGACTACTCGATGGAACGTTATTTACTGGGTGGAGTGCAATTTGTATGGGTGATCACATGATTTCCAGTGCAATTTGGGATAAATTGGCACGAGTGACATATTTCAAAGGTTAACCAAGTAACACAGACCTATAGGGTGAGTGCTATTTGTTGTCTTCGAAAAATTTACCAGTGCCGATTTATCCCAAATTGCTTGAGAAACATCGCGTGATTACTTGTTAATAATATACATGTGAAACTATGACTCTGTTTTCCTCTTTCAGTAGTTCTTTTTATTATGTGTCATGGTCAACAGGTTCGGCTGCTTGCCTTTGCCTTCTTGCTGGAGTAGTCTAGCTTTTCCCTCTAGGAATTTGGTTCGTACTTTTAAACTCTCCGTCACGAATAATCAGGCGTTTGTACTCTTTCTCTGATAGGAATTGATAAAAAACAATAACCAGTACACGGAAGGTATCACGCACTTAATATTCTTTGTCTTTTTAACGAGCTTTTGAGTAAAACTCCTCGAGAAGTTCGTTCATGGCCTACGAAACATACTTTTCAATACCCAACACTTCCAGCCTTTTCGCCAGTTTATTGATCCAGTACTGAGCTGGTTTGCGAAAAATTGGAAACGTTGTCTTACATTTTACTGCAATTTGAATGGTTCCTTTAAACAAGCCTTCAAATCTGATTGGTTGTTGTGTTATAGTAAAGCTTTCTCATCGGCTGGGCAAAAGATATGGTGCGATTCGTCGATAAATCACACTGATCATTGAGGGCGAATCAGATTGCAAGGACAAATAGTGATTTAAAAATTGATGTATTAAAGGAAATATTCTTTCCTACTCTAATTACGCACACGCAACTTTCGACATTGTTGATCCTAACATTACGCAGGAAGAATTTTACTTATGGACCTAGTATTTATGTATATTCCTGTAGAGTCTCTGTTGGCTGTGGTAGAACGGCGGAACCAGATATTCATAATGTACTGGTTATTGTGTTATGCGCAATCAAATACCGAGCAAAGCTATCGTCTACGTAAATAATTAGGAAAACAAAAACAAAAAGAGAAAAAGAAAAATAAAGACTAGAGGAAAAAAAAAAAACAAGAAAATAACTAAATCATAATGCAAAGATACTTCTTATAGACAGAAAGGATTATTAATGGTTAAAGTGATAAATTTGCAAATTACTTATGCCATAGAATTTGTGTCCTGGTTCCTACAAACATTTTTGATATTAAACATCATTAAAGTCTTATCATCTACCTGTGGAACATTATTTGTCCAGTTATAAGTTGCTGCAACGAACGTTCCATTGTCATTTGTACAAGCTGTCAATCCCAATGGTGATAGCCGATAAAACTTCTCACACTGCTCGCCGTTATCTTCAGCTCGTCGCACAAGCACATCAGTGGGTCTTGGATCCGGGCCACTCTCCACTTTTCGGTAATCTCCAGTTTGGCTTCCGGAAGCTAAAACGACATAGTCACTTCCCATGTCAACCTCGTAATAGGCAATGAAGTTTGGATCAAGATCGAGTCGGTAAATGGGACGAGTAGGGCCCAGGTCATCAGAAATATTGACTCGGTTGAGGTCTGTGAAGTCTGGATCGGCATCAGTCAACTCCATGATGGTGTCTAGGACCTCATAGGGTAGCTCTAAGGCGTGTGGCCTGGATGCCAAGATGATCAAGGAGATCACAAAAAGAAAAGCTTGTTGCTTTTTTGCCATTGTTTTCACGAAGCCCAGCAATTATCCTTTTAAGGAATAAAAGCAAAACCACATAAATGAACGAATAGATAGATAATAAATAAATGAATAGGTGAAAAAAAATCCTATAAAGAAAGACAGTAAATAAATCAGTGAATGATTGAGGCGAGGAAAGAAATTGAGATGCAAGAATGAATGAAAAATATAAAATGAATAGAGAGATAAATGGAAAATGCTGTGTGATGATTGACTGTAAAAGGGAGTTCTAACGTTAAATATTTATACAAAAGCGTAAATTGATCAACGTACGAATTTATCACCTCTCTCATGTACGAGATATTCTCTCAAATGTTGTTCAAAGAAGTAAGATTTAACCATCACTTTTCAATTGCACCAGATGGCACTGGCTGAGCGAACGTAATTTTACAAGACAGAAAAAAAAATCGAAGACTCATTTTTCAGATTTATGAAACCATTTAAAAACAGCTACTTTGCTTATGAAGTGACAAGCGCCTGAAATAAATGGCGCAATCTTGACTTGACCTTAACATCTCAAAAAATAGACTAACGTATTTTTGCAACTCTTTACAATTCTACTTTATCGATCGGCAGACAGAGAAATTAAATATTGTTGAATTTTGCAAGACGAACCACTGAAAATGTTTTACTAGCAGACTAGAATATCTAATTGGGTTCATATTCCCTCGAGGTAAGGAAGCTAAAAGTTCTTCTTCGAGTGCGTTGTCTATGATTGTATTATTTGCAAAAAAACTCAAAACGTACCTCAAATCTCCCTCTTAACCATTTAAATATCCTGATGTCCAGCAGAAGCAAGGCAGTGACTTCTCGCAGATCTAATCTGGTCTTTGGGGATAAGGCCAGGTGCTCTACTTTATAGCTGCCATCGCACAAAAATAGAGTCGAATTATCCAATGTGTTCCTGTTTTCTCTCTTATTATCTTTTGTGTTGAAGCAAAAGGAAAGATATGTAACGGAAACAGTTTACATTAGTTTCCATTTATCATTGAATGCACGCCAACCATAAAAAATACGTTACAATGATTGATGAAGGAAGGCTACTTCGATGGTGAAAAATGAAATACCACAGTGAAATGAAGAGTTTGTCTTTAGTGTCAAAACGAGCCAAAAGTGTGGTTTCGTTTAAACTTTTCTTTGAGTAAGTAACTTGCAGCGGAATTCAGACAGATTTCGAGTCGCGACTAAAATGGGTGATTTGCATTCGAGGTCGGCTAGGCTAAAGTTGCAAAGAAAAGGTCCTGTTTCCAAAGTTTCCATTTGCTATTAAATGTACGCCAACCATAAAAAATGACTGTTTAAAAAAAGCTACTTCAGCTTCCTTCTGTCGATGGTGAAAAATGAAATACCACAGTGAAATGAGTAGTTTGTGATTATTGGCAAAACGACCTAAAAGTGTGTTATAAACCCCTCTTTGAGTAAGTAACTTGTGGCGGAATTCAGACAAATTTCGAGTCAGGACTGAAATAGAAGATTTTCATTCTGGGTCGGCTGGGCTAAAGTTGCAAAGAAAAGGTTTCCTAAGTTGGAATTTGATCTTAAACAAGAATTATTAGGTTCCAGTAAAATTCAGTCAATGGAAAATGAAAGAGTCATGACCGATGAAGTGGTTATTTCAATACAAGGCGAAGGCAAACGTCACGCCTGACGAAACCTTTCCACAGGAAATAAGCGCTATTAAAAGTCACGCCGAAGAACAATACGTTAGCGCCCTAGTGCGCTTCCATCAGCGTAGACTTGTTAGTCGCAAGAACAAACTTGAAAAGGCTAATATTGCCAAGTCTCGATCGCAATACAATGTAAATACACGTGAAAGATCACGTTCGCCCTTGAGGAACACTGTAAATGCTGATGTCGACAGGATAGACAAAATAGAAAATCAGCTTTCAGAGCTGAAAGATCTTATATGTACACGCTTTCAGAGTGATAATAAACATGTTGAAAAGTACAACAGTGTCATCTCTGAAAAATCAGTCGCCAAACCCACTGCAGCAAAAAGGCTATCCAAGAATAATAAACGCAAAAAGCGTAGAAAAAATACACTACACAAGCGAGTGACTACAGAAAGGGAGAAAAAAATAAAATATACCTTAAAAACCTTTCAGACAATACATTAACTGATCACCAAGTCACCGTGTTAGCAAAAGGGCTTAAATTTATTGAAACACCCGTGACAAATGAAAATAAGATCAGGCAACAATTGTTGCGTGACTTCGAACAATTCGCTAGGCGAATGAGACTTAGATATATATTCCACGGGAATGACAAGGAACCACATCCTTTCCACGTCAAATCAAACTGGATATCACCAGTACAACCTTCTATTACCCTTGAACGCTACTTCGAAAATATCAAGTCAAGCCTTGCTGAAATAGAAATAACAAAGCCAAAACACAACCTGTCATACAACGAACACAAAGCAGTCAAAGAACTGCAAAACAATACTGCCATCAACCTTAAACGTGCTGACAAAGTCATCACAACAGTGATTCTCAACAAGAGGGACAAAATTCAAGAGGCCCAGGTTCAGCTCGACAACAGAGACCACTACCGACCTCTTGAAAACCCCATGGTCACTGACACATTAAAAAAAGTTAATGAGCTTATTGCTCAACTGCACAATGGCAAACATATAGACGATATGACAAAAAAGTGGCTTTCACAGACTCCCAATCCGCCCAGAATACCGATTTTCTACACTTTAACAAAAATCCACAAACCTTTGCCAGTGGGTAGACCGATTATATCGGGCTGCGAAGGACCAACTGAAAGGATATCATCCTTTGTGGATCATTTATTACAGCCTATTGCTCAAAAGCAAAAATCGTATCTCAAAGATACGACTGATTTCATCAACTTTATAGAAAAAACGCAAGTGTCAAATGATACTATTTTAGTATCAATGGATGTAACACAAACACAAACATCCCACAGGAAGAGGGTATCACAATAGTATGCCAAGCATACGAAAAATACCACAATAACAGCCCTCCCATTCCGTCCCACTACTTAAAACAAATGCTCGGGCTTATACTGAAAGAAAATTCGTTCCAGTTCAACGAAGTAAACTATCTCCAATGTTTTGGAACTGCCATGGGAACACGAATGGCGGTTGATTCGCCAATCTCTTTATGGCAGAAATTGAAACAAAACTGCTTCACCAAAGCAGTATCAAGCCGAGAGTATGGAAGCGTTACATTGACGACGTTTTCTCCCTGTGGGATGTTCGTAAACAAGACATTGATCTATTCATAGAACAAGCTAACACGTTCCATCCAAGTATAAAGTTCACGGCTGAAATCTCAGAGACTGAAATCACATTCTTAGACACGGTTGTCTACAAAGGTGAAAGATTCCAAAACGAAGCTATCCTCGACGTCAAAACTCACTACAAACCGACCGAGACCTTTCAATATACACACTATTCATCTTACCACCCGCCAGGTGTTAAGAAAGGCTTTATTAAAGGAGAAGCTATCAGACTTCTAAGAACAAACTCCTTGGAAAGAAATTTCCAGGAGGCCATGTGTAACTTCAAAACACGACTTGAAGCACGTGGTTACCCAAAAAGCCTAATTGAAAAAACGTTATCTGAGGTCTCGTTTGCCGCAAGGCAGTCGACACTTAAAAAACAAACCAAAAAAACTAGGATCATGTGCACTATAGGTGGCCTCGGTCGACATATCGGCCGATACATCAGCCAATATATCGGTCGACTATCGACCGACTATAGGTCGACTATCGGTCGACAGTCGACCGACTATCGGTCGATAGTTGACCGATAGATCGGCCGACAGTGGACGGATATATCGGCCGACAGTCGACCGATAAATGTGCACATATCGGCTGATGTATCGGCTGACAGTCGGTTGATATATCGGTCGACTATCGGTCGACTATCGGTCGACTATCGGTCGACTATCGGTCGACAATCGGTCGACTATCGGTCGACAATCGACCGACTATCGGTCGATATATCGGCTGACAGTCGACCGATAAATGTGTACATATCGGGTGATGCATTGGCCGACTATCGGTCTATATATCGGTCGACTATCGGTCGACTGTCGACCGATAGTCGGTCGACTGTCGACCGATAGTCGGTCGATTGCCGACCGATAGTCGACCGATAGTCGACCGATAGTCGACCGATAGTGGACGGATATATCGCCCGACAGTCGACCGATAAATGTGCACATATCGGCTGATGTATCGGCCGACAGTCGGTTGATATATCGGTCGACTATCGGTCGACTATCGGTCGACTATCGGTCGACAATCGGTCGACTATCGGTCGACAATCGGCCGACTATCGGTCGATAGTCGACCTATAGTCGGTCGATATATCGGCCGACAGTCAACCGATAAATGTGTACATATCGGGTGATGCATTGGCCGACTATCGGTCTATATATCGGTCGACTATCGGTCGACTGTCGACCGATAGTCGGTCGATTGCCGACCGATAGTCGACCCATAGTCGACCGATATATCGGTCGATTGTCGGCCTATATGTCGACCGAGGCCACCTATAGTACACATGATCCAAAAACTAAAGGCAAAATATTGCCTTTTGTGACAGCATACCACCCAGGGGTTAAAAATTTAAAACAAATACTGATGCAAGAATGGAATCTCATCCAAAATCAGCCACTGCTGAAAACAATTTACAAAACGCCTCCGATTATATCATACAAAAGAGGTAAATCGCTCAAAGACATACTCGTCAGAGCGAAGCTTTAATTAAAGGTTTTTGCGTCGCAAACGTAAAACCACACAAGGGAGTCTGTGTAGGCCTGTCTATGACCTTTTCAAACAGTCTTTTCAATTCAATTAGAATTTGATCTCCATGCGGAAATTTTAAGTGTGTGTCAGTGTTCCCGGGTAATCTCAGTTGACCGTGTATGCTCGAATACAAGGTGCATACAAAGCACTTAAGTCGTTTTATTTTGTTTAAGGGAGTTTGAAATCTTCCTTACAGCGGTTAAGGGCAATAAAGAATGAGTGAAGCTCGCCATAGATGTCTCAATTTTGGAAGAGGGAGAGACTAAGTTGTTAAGTTCCAGTAAAATTCAGTCGATGGAAAATGAAATAGTCATGACTGATGAAGTAGTTATTTCGTACTCCCGAGCAACCACACCCTACAGAGCTTGTTCACCTTAAACTTTCTAAATGGGATTTAAGTGGTTTCAGTTTGTTTCAGGAACTCAGATAGGTGCTACATTGTAGTACTAACAAATGGCCAGGGTTGCAGTCAATACAGTGCAATAATAAGTCAGCAAAGCAAGACGAACAAATACAGGGTATTCAATTTAATTTGAATTTGACCTCCATGCAGTGCAGAAATTTTTAGTGTGCGTCAGTTTTTCCGGGTAATCTTAGCTAACCGTGTATGCTCGAATTAAACATACACAGGACCTAAGTCGTTTTATTTTGTTTAATGGGAGTTTGAAATCTTCCTTAGAGCAGTTAAGGGAATAAGGAACGAGAGAAACTTGCTATAGATGTCTCAACTTTGGAAAAGGGAGAGACCGAAGAGATCCTTCAGATTGGCTCTTTGGTCAATAATTACCATAGCTAAATCAATGTAGGTGTATGTCTTTCGTGGGCCCACGGCGGTTCCAGTGAAATTTGTGTCATATTTCAGCAAAATGTCAGTCGAGTTTGAGTTTAATTTTCAGCAAACTTGTAGCTATTTGCTTTAAGGCAGATCTCTATTGCGTTACCTTACCAGACCCATACAATTGGTTGAGGGACAGTCATCAGCTCTTCAATCTGATGCCTTTGTCAATACCAAGGTTGTTGTCATTTTTTGGAAATTGCTGCCTTTGAATAAAGGGCTTAAGCAAACAAAGGAAAAAAGCGATTTCTATTTGCAGCCCATGCTAGTCTCGGAAAAAAATGCACTGTTGAATAGTACAATCAAATCTAAATTCACACCGAATACAGCACAGTACATTGTTGTAAATTCAGCGGATAAATGCTGTTTCATACAATACGAGGTCATACTTTTTGCTTTCTCATCTCTGTAAATCTTACAAAGATTTAGAATTAAACATTCAAGGTTAGCGCTTCTCCTCCATCCTTTCTTTCCTTATCGTTGTTGATTTTTTCGGCTCTTCCCTTGCTTGCGCTAAGCGGCTTACTTCCCTATAATACAAACTTTTGTTGTTGCTTTTTTTATTATTTTTATTTATTTCAACCTATATTACGACGACATTAAACTTCGCTGTAGCTCTCTTTGCTAAAGGACGTATTTTTCCTGACCCCAAACAGAAAAATTTCACGTTGTATGCAAATATGAAGAACAAAACGTGTTGTGGAGGGAGATTTACATTAACGAGTGTATCAATGCGTGTGAATATTTCATCGTCTGCCATGCGCAGCTCAGCAAATCTGAGTAGGTTTGAATTTTTTGGTTTTGACACTGAATTTGGGTTTACTAGATATTCTCCGCGTTTGGATGCTGTTGGTATCACTGGAGGCGAGTGACAGCAAAAGGACATAGAACACTTCATATCAGTTAAGATTAGTTTTAATGACAATGAATATATAGAAATCATATTGTGACCTGTGGTATAAGAAATGAGTAGTCAAGAGACATTACGTCGACTGTCGTAAAGATTTAAGATTCACTGTATTTACTTTCATTATCAATTAGTGTATCAGCTGAACAAGAAAACGTTCTCAGTCCGCTTTCCGTGAGATTGAAACATCACTGTATTTCTCATCACTATGATGCTTAGCCTACAAGCTGAATAGATCGAAAAAAAAAAAAGAGAGTTCACTTTCATGAGAATTTATTTCGATACCAAATGTTCAGATACTTTTCAGCATAAGATAAAAACAGTTAGTCGTGAGGATACAAAGCTCACTGCATTCAAATATATCTATAAATAATTAGATTTAATAATTTTCACCTCAGTTTCGATGAACAGTGATGGATATTTACCCAGCCGCGAAGCGGCGAGGGAAATATCTACCACTTTCAACGAAACTGAACTTAATAATTGCTCCAGTATATACTACACAGATACACAAGAAATAAGTTTATTTCTTTTAACATACAAAAAAATGGTCGGAAATTGAACTCTTGACGCATGATTTTGTCTGATCGGCTACTCGGAGGTGAATAGTACTTGCTATTCACCTCACTGCAAACTAACAATCAGCGCGCGAGAAGCACTATTCACCTGTGTGGTATATATTAATATAAAAATACTTAAAAAATGTTTTCCATGATTAAAATGCATTCTATGATTCATAAAATCAGCGACTTGTTTTTCTAGATCAAGAGAAGGATATGATATGTTTCCTACTCTTACACATAGCAGCAATCAGCAAATCATATACTCTCTTTACATTTTCAAAACAGTAAACTAGACGGTTTATTTAAATTAAAAGAATCATGTAATAAGACGAATAGTTTTTTTGTTTAACATAGAATTTTCATCACCAGCCCACTAGGAGTTGCATAATTATCATACGGGGAAATTACTTTTAGACCGTAGAAGTTTAAGACTTAACAACGGAGCTCTTGGTTTTTATGGAAATAAGGGACTGATTGGCCTGAGCTGTGTTCGATTGTGAACCACTACCATCAAGTCCGCTTGATTCTCTAAGCGCTGTTCCTCAGCTTAATCAAGTTTTGCTTATCCAGCTGGAGTAAGAGGTGGTAGAAATCGTCTTATTTCTGCTGAAAACAGTGAGCCATATTTTATGAGCTTTTTGTTACTTGAAAGATAAATGATTTATGAACTGATGGTTTTGTGCATGTGTACTTCAGCTACAAAATGGAACGCAGAATCTCGCCTGACGATTTAATTCTTCCAAGACCAACCTGTGAAGTCGCACAGAAAGGAATCGTAAATGGCTTAATTTTCTCACAACATCGGCAGTCAGTAGCCATGGAGGACCTAGATGAAGCATTTTATGAATCAGTAAGTCATAGCTTTGATCCATAAAGAACGTTGGTCTCTTATTAAATCAAATCAAAGAAGCTTTTTGCTCGATATGAGCAGGGGAAGCCTTTGTAAAAAAATCACTATGTTTTGTAATATCTCAACGCATGAGGTAATTTTCTGCTTGCTTGCTTGAACCTTCGAACATTTTTTATCAATGTTACCAACGATGCGATCAACATGATTCTCCCGGTTTTTCTTCCTTTTGTTTTGTTTTGTTTTGTTCTCTATTCTAAGACTCAAGCTTTAAACAGAACACTTGATCAAGTTAAAGCGTGAATCGAATCTTGTTGGGTACTTTTTTTTTCAGTTTTACTCATGAAAGGCAGCACTCAAAAAATCATTACTGGTAGAATCATTAAAAAAACACACACAAAAAAACCATTTCTTGTGGTTAAAATATGGGTCGCAATTTTCGAGTTGGATTATTAACTTCATTTATATTTCATGCTGCGCTAGCAATTTCAGTTCATTCTCATTATCTTTTGGAGGGAGAATAAAATTAGAAATGTTACACGTGGAGATATGTAACGACTTTTTAGCCGTTATCTTTTAAAAATGAGAAACATATAGTAAAGCTAAGTAATACATTGGTCAGACATAAAACAGACGTACAAACGGTCAGATAAAGTCATATCCTGACCCACACTAATGAAGTAAAGTTTTGTTTGGACAAAGGAACACTCTTAGAGAACAATTGAAGATAATATAAAAGATATATAAATATATGTACATAATTTATGTTTTCTTGGCTGTGCTCATCTTTTAAGTTTCTCTTGACCCTTTAGAGAAGGTACCAAATTGAGTTTTATATAAAAAAATAAAAAAAAAAAAAAAAAAACAAACAATTCAACTTACAAACGGCGGTGAAATCGAGTGGAAAGACATAAACAAGACATGACTGGGACATAACTGAAAAATTAATTTGTCTTTGCTAACAATACCTTCCAATCTCAAGAAATTTACCTTCCCTTGTTTTGTAAACAGTGTAGTAAATTAATTAAAAACTGAAGGTCCTGTCTAAGAGCTCATCTGCATACAGGTGTCTACTAATATGGCGATAATTCGAGTCAAGTTCAGGAAGGAAAGATTGCAAGCGCATTTTTCCTTGTAGGACCTCATGACAAACAAGAACATTTGAAAAAATATTTGTGAAACTTTCTAGCCTAATTAATAAATCAAACACTGAGAAGATTTCACTCCAGACGAGAGAAGAAAAACGTGTTTTATTTCATTTGAAATAATATAAATAATAAAACAAATAATAATGACACAAATAATAACATTCCCATTCCTTTCCTGTCATTTTCCCTTCGTAAATACCTCCAGTATGGAGTTGATAGTTTTAATAAATGTATCACTCCCGAACGCGGTTGATTTAAAGGTTTCACAAGAAATGAGAGAACAAGGAATCGAGAGATCTAAGGCCATGGACTTAGTTCGAATAAAGAGACTGATAGATGCCTGTGACTCAAAAGAAGATACGGCACTTTATTTGCTTGAGGAATGGAATTACGAACCACAGGTGAGGTTTTGTACTTTGATTTTTGTTTGCTCCTCTTAACGTACTCCGAGCCATGTACTATGTACGATTTTGAAATTTTTGCCTGTGGATAGCAATCGAACATTGCAATCGAAATGATTTTATTCCCTGTACCTATGGGTACAAATTTAGGGATATCGTTTATAATTTATTGACATCGGAAATGATCTACAGATTTTTGTTGTTGTTGTTGATGTCGGTGCTTACTGTGATATTAAAATTAATTTATGTCTTATGCAAGGCGATTTGAAAAAGTCTATCCCGTAAAAGACCATTCAAATAATTGTCCGGGATGTAATTAAAACATTTTTTCAAGGTTTCAAGATTCTTACGGCTACTCAGTGACCTTGGCGTAGACTTTGAAAGTGTGAAAGACTCCCTCCAAAATACTCCTTTACACATGGCAGCTAAGAAGAACTATACCTTGGTAGGCGACTATCTAATGGACAGATTCCCCAGTATGCTCCTGACTGCTAACGCTCAAAATGAACTTCCGATCGAAATAGCCATAAGAAACTATCAGGATGACATGGCAGCATTCTTAATTCGGAGAATGGATCATAGAAGGTAGGTAGTGGTCGCTTGGTTGGCGTTGCAGATATTTTATTACAGAAGTAGATAGCTTGGATTCCCGGCAGTAGTTGCATCATGCAAAGAAGAGAAAGGCGAAAAAGTCAGTATTGTAGCCAAGTGGCCCAAATAACGAGAGATTATCCCCAACTGTAATGCGTGAAGTGACTAAGGGCACTGCTTATCCCTCCTTGGATAGCATGTTATCCTTAGCAGTTCCTCAAAGCTCGCCGGTACCCTTTTAAACTCGTGGGTATAGCTTGGTTCAAGCATTTTGTACAAAGACGACACCGCTCAGAGAGATTGAAACGACAAAAAATCAATTTTCATTCATTTCCTAGCTTTACCTATTATTTCTTATCATGTTCTGCCCAAGAAATGGGTAGGTAATGTGCATTTCGACATTTGTGCCTTTCTCTCGCAGGGTTAAGGACTTGTTCAGTGGCATAAAACAACAGGGAAAAGATATAGTGAGCTTTTTGAAAATGACAAAAGAGTTTAAGATGCAGGTTTGTAAATGGAGAATTGCTTCCCTACCAGCTTTTACTTTGAAATATGTGGGACGTTCGTAGCGTAGATTTGTTTAAGTGCCACGATGAAAACTACTGTATTTAATTTACCGGTAATTGTGTCGCCCCTAATTTGTCACTTGTTTAATTGTTCAGTGCCTTTTCACGGGGTGGTTTGGGGCATGAATTTTGACACACATATCTACATACTTTTTTAATGGCATTTAAAGAAAACGATCGTGGCCGTGTTGGATAGTCTCATTTCTCCTCGTTGGCCACATCCACCGAGTCTGCCGTCCGATATTCTACCGTGTTTATCCTGGGAACAACTACCAGAGACACCCACTCATTATTACGTGGCTTACGACATTTTGGAAAGTGATGACAATGGAAAATTCCCAGATGACCCTAGTTATGAGCATCCACATCAGTCTTGTCTGTATAACTTAGCCAGCCATTGGCACAAGAACCTTGACGAGATAGCAGAGGTAGGGAGCTTAAAAAACTCTACCATGATTAATCTTTTGGACGTCAAAACTGACCTATAGCTTTATACATATAATAATAGAGTGTGTGAGGGCTGGACATGTATAGCGGCGGAAATACACAACGAGTTTAAGAACAACGGAGAACGTCACTAGTCTCTGGCACAACAAACAATGTGGACCCTTCATCTTGAATTACTGCCTTATAGCAAGATGTAATAACCTACAAAACATAATGAAGATTACATTGCGAAGCGAAACTCGAAACAGAAATTATCTAGCAACTTATCATAAGATAAAAAGACGACAGAAGCAAAAAATTCTTAATTTTAGCGTACCATACACGAGCGCTCTAACGCGCGCGATTGAGAAGTGAACAAGTTAATGAAGCATTATGGTCTTACGTAATCTTTATCGAAAAATCCTGAACCGCGGAATGAACTTCACCTTAACGACTTGTTGAGGAATAGCCTCAACAGAATGGGAAGGGGAGGAAGGGAAGTGATGTGTTTATTTTGACTTTGGCCAAATTAGCGTATGCACTGCTTTAATTTACCTTCTTATGAATATTTTTTCAATATGTTAAAATTGTGTAGTTCTATCGAGTCGCAAATTGGAATATTCTCAAGCAACTTGAGCCAGTGAGCCACATACAAATATGTGCCCTTTTTGTAAGGATAGGAAATCTGCTATTCAAAGGCTGTTTGCCTTTCTCGCCAAAGTTAATGATAATTGACTGCTAAGGAAACGAGATTTAAAGGAATCCAATAAGTGACAATGAGAGAGATAGCACATGATCTGCGATAAATTCTATACAGGGAATCATCAATCATGTTGTCATACAGCTGTTGACTGAGAGAAAGTGGCGGAAATACGCCTCATTTTGGTGCAGGTTAGCATAAAACACCTGTCTTTTATTTTTAATTCTAAAATTAAAGTTAATGTCATGACCGTCTACTTATTTTCAAACCTTCCGCGGCGAAATGTAATTTAAAAATTATCACCCACGCACTAAACGGGATTAACGAACGCTCACAGTAACAAGACAGAACGTACCTTACAGTACTTTTTATCCTGGAAGCAGTTATCGTTCGGCTAATGTGATAATTCAGTTTTGGGTAGGACTATTGTTGATGGTCGATTGCATTATAAAACACCCGCATGATCCATAAAACTCCAACGCCAGGCTTATGCTCGAAATTTCAGTCTTTTTACATATACTTTGATATTACCCCAACTGCCCTAATGTTAGTGATGAAGATTTCGATTACCCATCAACAAAGAAAAACAGTGTCCTAGAAGCTAACTTCTTCAATCATCATCATCAACCAACCGAACTTTTGTACCATCCTGAACTTTTATATAAAACTTGCATATTTTCAGGGTTCGTTCCTACCATTACATGTTCTTTGTTTGTGCACTTGGAGCCTCACTTGTGTATTCGGTAAGCCTAGACGAGCCTCTTGATTATGGCTCCTCGTCCTTCAGAGCAGTTTTTGACGTCTTGATACTGTTCACCACATTCTTCTTTATGCTGGAGGAAATAATTGAGCTCAAAAGGTGACGTTGATTTTACCTGAAATGCAGGTCTGCAACTAGTTTGTCTGCTTATGTATGAAGCTCTGCTTACGCATCAAAGTTAAAGCATTAACCTTAGTTTGCTCTTTTCCTTTTCTTTTTTTCAGAGAACCATCCATTTTTGTTAAAGATCCATGGAACTATTTGAACGTCAGTGGATACGTTCTTATATTCTTAACTTTTGTGTACAGACTCCAGAAGAGAAATTACCAATGGACTTTTGCTTGCTTTGCGTTCTCAATCAACAGCCTGGGTATTTTTAAACATACTAGCAGAGATCGGTAAGTAAATGTAACATGGCGGAGGTCATGCTAAGCCCTCGAGTCTTGGGTTGGACATGACGCGTAATCCAGCCCCTCATATCTAACGTGCGTCGTATGAATTGTCATATTGTTAACTGTTATCGTTAACTGTTATCATATTGTTAACTGTTATCCTCTCTTTTTAGATATATAGGTGAATACGTCAAATGCCTTTACAAAGTTATCTACAGAGACATGCCTAGATTTCTGTATGTGTTTGGTATCATCCTCTTCACTTTCACTGTGTCGTATTACTTGGCGCTTCAAGCTCATAAAGACTTAACCTTATTGAATGGTGAACTGGTAAACAATAGGTACGTCTTCAATTAAACAGGAGTCTTCCATGGACAAAAAAAGTTCAAGCTAATTATGACATTTTAAAGCCGGTTGTTTAGGAAGTTCTTATCGTAGGCCCCGGCTGTGGACAATCTATGTTATTATACATTAGATTTAATTTGAAAACTGATTGTTCGAGAGCACACAGTCAGTAAACAATTATTGGATGAAGTTTAGTGATATCCAGAAAAGTCAAGGTCGAGGTAAGGGTTATCAGCCGAAGCCTTTGGCTTCGGCTGATAACCATACCAAGACCTTGATGATTCTGGTTATTGCAAAAACCGAATCTAATAATTTTTTCATCGTACACTAAACCAAAAAAAAAAGGTCATGACGGTAGGAGGAACTGATAATTTATTTTTAAACGGGTAAAAATATACAAATCAGCAAACAACACAAAGCGTACGAACTTAACATGATTATCCTTGGAATTCATGCACCGCTGTTATACATGACATGATTATCCTTGAGTGTCCTCGACATCATTATCGTATAATCTGCAGCTAAATGATGTCCCAGGCGCTAATTTCGAAAACTCACAGTACGCTTTCGGCTCATCAGAAAAGAGATAGTAAGTCGACAGTATAATAGTATACAATAGCGTGTGAGGTTGACATGATAACCCAATGTCTGCGGCCCGGATATTGGATTATCATGTAGAGTTAAAAGTCCCTTGTTTCCAAGCCCATAGTTCGTTTAGTATTCTCTTCTCAAACTTTTGCAAACTCGATCAGAGAGAAGTGTCTTCTTTTGCAGATTATTTAAAAAATGTAACATAGAACACTTACTGAATTCAGTTTTTGCATAATATCATGACTTATCAAACCTTGTGTCTGTTTTATCTGCCGAAGCCTTCCTTAGATCTTGGCATTGATATTTTATGATATCATAGTGACCTCACCCAAAAACTGTGGCCGCAAGCGTTGTTTGAAGTAAATGCTGTTTGTTTACAGTTTGCGTTTCCTCTTTCTATCCTTGCTCCCTTTGTCTTTTCAAAAGGTTGCATTTTTATGTTTTTTAGAACTATTAGGGGTGACATATCGTGTACTGGTGAAATATGGTGCGTGATGTTAGCAGGACTGTTTGCTTGGCTTGAAGGGACTTTCGTCGTCAACACTTTTGAAGATGTTGGGTAAGCTAAATACCTGGATCAAGTGCAATTTCTAAGATATCACAGAGGGATTTGAAGAGAGAATTTCTAGAACTCTAAATCTCTCTCTTTGGTGGCTAAACGCAACTGTCTTTTAATCAATACATCTGCGTTTCATTCTGCTATACTCTGAGTCGACATCACCACTTCGAGTCAAAAGAAGCGTCTAGGTCATCTCATGATCAAAAATGAGATACATAAGGGAAAGGAAAGACGGTATCATTTTGAAATACTTATTTTCTTACTGCTGATTTAAGGTAACCTTTTTCAAAATGAGGCTTGGAAAGTTCTCTGGAAAACAGGTTATAGTGTTTTTCAATTTTGGCACAGATAACTATTTTAAATTATGGTAAAAAGTTCATTGATCGGGACTCTAATTTTTTTCAACCGTTTCTGGAATCACTGACCCTAACGCAAATGTTGTATTCTTCTTTGTCAGTATTTTTGGAGGATTTCTGATCCTTGCTTTCATGTTGAGTGTGACTATCATCTTGCTCAATATTCTGATTGCTCAGCTGTCACTGACTTATGAGACTGTTCAAGAGGAGTCACAGCATTCGTTTACGGCGATGAGAATGCAGGCCGTGGCTATTGTCGAATGGGGAAGTAGGTTTAGATTCTGGGTAAGTTAACATATTTTTTTTGGAAAGGAAAAGTCCTTTAATAAATATAAAAATGGAAAGACCTTAGCACTGTTTGAACGTTCGTTTTCGGGTATAAGGAATATTACTTTAAAAGAAAATATATTCTTTACTTCATCATTGACGTCAGAGTTTAGAAATCATTCGATTTTTATCTCTGCTGTTAGCAATTCAATACAGGTTACAATACCTACCCAGGTTTGAATTTTCAAATAGTTACGTATCCTCCTCTTTCGAAAACGTGGGACGCCGCCATTTTTTTCCGAAAGGGCCAAGTTCATCTCGTAGAGCGTTATAGGACACATCCCGCGATAAAACCCCTAATACAAAGAATTGGTGGCCGAGCTATAAATTCTAAAGTTACGTCGGCTACAACTTCACTGACGGAAACCAAAAAAGCAAGAAGAACACAAAATCTTAATTACTGTAACAAAAAGGAGACAAAAAAATAGCAAACAAACAAAGACGCGAAAAAAACAAGAGAAAAATGCCATTTATAATGTTGTGTCAATACGGATTTCGATGAAAATGATATTTTATATTTAGAATGTCCGGAAGAAGTATTATGTGGCAGGTGAAATTAGGCCGAGGGAGGAGATTGAAGGTAAAAACTTTTCTGTTGGAATTTGATTTTTTTCTTTGGTCCATTGTTTAAGACACTTTGAGAGCCTTACATGTAGTTATCTTTAAACTTCTTTCTCATGAATGTTTTTTTTTTTAAGTCTTCTCTCCTCTTTTTTGTTCACCAAATTCATAGCAATGCTGCAAAAGTGTAGAGAGAGGTCAGAATCGAACAAGTCAATAACCGATCATCTCAAGGAGATCCGGGAAAGATTCACGGCAATGGAGACAAATCTTCAATCGTTGAGGTAAAGAGCGAAAAACAGACTCCTCGGTAATTGTCATGAACGAGCTGATTTTTTTTTTTTGGAAGTTATTTTCCGGTCAAGGAAATGATAGCTGAAAGTATTCGTTTGTTGTGTTAGTGGTAAAAGGAATGTTTTCTATCTGTTATATAGATGTGAATTAGAGTCTGTCATTCAGAAAAGACAGGATGAAGTAAACAAGCAGACGACTCAGGGATTTGACAAAGCCGTGTAAATTCTGTTATTTTACACACCATTTGATCATTTTTGTTGTCATTTTTTTCGGTAGAACTCGGCTTGATTCGAGTTGTCTTAAATACTGCAAAAGCTGGCCTTTGATCCCTACATCCATTTCACTGATAGTTAGATAAATAACTTGAGTTTACTTACTTTTCGTTTTCTTGGTTGACTCAGCTGATGTCTTTGGTTCTGGTAACTTTTGCTTTTCGACTCTTTGCTGACTCCCCACACAATATTTTTTGGAGACCTCCCAATTTGCAACAACCACTCTTTTATTTTTTTTCTGCAACGGCCTCTAGTTTTAGTCTTGGGGAACGTACCAAATGGTTCTCCGCTTGAACAATCTGTAAATGTGATGAGTCTTACAAGAGGCTGGTGATGGATGTACAAAAAAAAAAGAAAAAATGGAAACATTGTTTTGAAATGTGTCGGATCAGAGCTCAGAAATTGATAACGGTTATAATTTAGCAAACTTTGCTGTCTATCTGTGGCGGGAAGATCATTTATAAATTTAAAAATAAAATAGTCGATTTGTGAGAGACATTTGAGAATTAGTTACTATTACTTATCAGCATTACAATTACCCCGGATGGGAATATTTAGATACGATCGAACACATGACCATTGGGAGTTATCACATCCCCGTGATCACCTCAAATCAGGGTAAATTGTTCATAAGAGATAAATCGGTTATTTGTACGCCGCGTAGATGGGAAAATTAAAAAAAAAGGCCATATGACTGAAGTAACCAGCCAGGCATCTAAGAAAAAGCTTTAGTTATAATACCACACGAGAGAATGATGCTTTACGTCCACACTGATTGGCTAATTCGATAGTGATTAGCTAGCATTATTCACCTCCACATCGGTGAATTATTCAAGAGGAGGCCACCTATTGAGTTCAGTTTTGTTTGGCACGAACACGATAAAGTGCTTTGTGTAACTGATGAATCAAATGAAGGAATAAGGTGTCACATGACTTCTGGCCTGATTTATGAGCCAAATATAAGAATAATAACAGGCACATGCTGTTGATGAGGTAATTCAAACTCTAATTTAAATCCAGAAGTTTTATGTGCATCGCATTATAACGCTAGTACCCTCAAGTTCTGTGGCGGAATAAACGGAAATTTGCGCGCCCTTGAACATTCAAAATCTGATCGCGACCTGCCGTGGCAAAATGATTCATCGAATCGCGGCAGAAGACTTGATTCTTCAGAGAAGTGCTAGTCAGCTGGACGACAGTTGTTCGATAGCCAGCTCTTTTACTCTTCAAGACCGCGTGGAGGCAATCCAGCAATCCAGTGAGGAATTTCACGAAATGGTAGGTTGAAGAACCATTGCACTTTCTCCGAAATTCTCTTATGTTATAAACCTATGAAGGAAGGATGGAATTCTTTTTAGTGTCTCGTACATTAACTAATGAATTTCCTCAAAATGGTTTTGGTTACGTAATCCCCTTACTTCCACTAAGGAGTCAATTTTTTGATGAAAGAGGAACCAGTTTCAAAATCTTAACTTTGAATCCAGACGGGTTGAGCTGCTCCTTTTACGTTCGTTTTTTTCCGAAAAGTACAAGTTTAAATCTACTAAAAGCCTACTTTATCATTTACTGAAAAATTGAAGAACACAATGTCGGAGAGCGAATCGTCTTAAGCCATCTCTAATTTAGATGTAAATTTGTAGATTAAATTGATGGAGTCTACGGTAATAATGAGCTCTTCATGGAAACAAAATTTAAGTGAATTGAAGGAGCAAGTGCACTTTGGGGCTTTTCATCTTCAGTAAGGTCTCATTTTCAAGCTTTAATAGATATAAAAATGTATTTTATTGACATCGTTGCTCCGTGCTACTGGTTCAGAGCCTTTATCCAGCGACTAAAGAGAGAAATCAGAACGTTATCTATTATATTTGCTTTTCATAATAAGTGCTGTAGTCGCCTGAGGATTAGAAATACATTTGCAATTTACTGACAATGACTTTGTTGTGCCCTTTTATATAAAAGCTTTTTAGCTCTTTTCATAAGCTCAGTTTGTTTCCACAAGAGGTTTTATTATTCATGCAAATTTATTTTTTTCAATTTCACAGTACCGGAAAATATCAAGAATCTAGAACACCTCTTTTGTTCCCTTAAAAGTTTATTTACCTAGTGATCTTGAAGGTTTTTATTGAAATGCTTCCTCTATTAAAAGGCTCTTTGTCAGAACAAAGACTTCATAATAACCTCGTCTCCAGGGTGAGGCGACTGGAAGCTTAGGTTAACGGTACGCAGAAGGAGTCCAAAACAGTTAGACTGAACCTTAACTTAAGTGTTAATTACATCTCGATGAAAAATGTTAAAAAGTTTAATGGGATTTTACTGAAATTACCAAAACAAAAAGTGATTACTTTCCGTAGGTCAAAAAAGAAATGAGAGAAAAAGGCATCGATAGAAGCCAGGCAATGGACTTAGTTCGCCTTCAGAGACTTATAGATGTGTGTGATACTAAAGAAAACACAGCACTCTACCTACTGCAGGATTGGAATTATGAACCTCAGGTGCCGTAAGACCGTTGCCATAGAGAAGAGATGAATATTAACGTAGATGCCTCCCTCACGTAAAGTCTTGATCTTCCGTTGCACCTCATCACAGCTTTATTTCCCAATTTTTAACCTAAGAAACAGCCAGTAATTCTTTGCATTTAAAAGCCTGCAGCTTTTAAGCAAGAGAAAATTTCATCCCCTTGTTAATTTATGTCATATTCTTGAGAGCTACTTAATTTCCCCATTTTCATCTCCGTCGCTTCCGTGATTAGAAGTGATAACATCAACTCAATTCACGCGTTATTGAAAAGTTAAAAGAAAGGCAACAGGAAATTTCTTGTTGACCAATAAACATTAGCGCACAAAACCAATTATCCAGAGGAAAACGAAACGGCCAGTGAATTGATCTTTGAACAAACAAGATGTAATCAGCAGTTCTCCATTCCATCCACTCTAAATTTCCTCATAAACTAGTCAGTTATGTTCTAGAGAACTTTGCGTTTGTTCAATACATCTTTCAGTAGATAAGTGTCTTTATAGTATGTGAAAAATTCTCCTTTATCTCGTCATTTATTCAATTTTATGCAGGTTTGCAGATTTCTTAGGCTTCTGTGCAGTTCTGGGGTGAATTTGAAAGATGTGGTAGATTTCCTTCACAATACACCATTACACATAGCTGCTACGAAGAACTTCATTTCCCTCGCCAAGTTTTTGATTGACAGCTATCCTTACATGCTCATGGCCATAAACGGACAGAGCGAGCTGCCAGTTGAGACTGCAATAAGACACAGTCAGGATGACGTGGCAGCATTCCTTATAAGGAGAATGGATCATAGGAGGTTAGCGAGTTTTTGTTGTTGTTTCGTGCAAAACGGGCGTCAACTTCATAAAAGATTTTTTGAGTTTGAAAAGAATAAAGGAAAAGGATGGTCGATGATGGAGAAAATTCATTTGTAACTCATGTAACGACACAATTCATTTCATGCCTTTTTGTTAACGACGTTAGCTTTAACCCTAAGTAATGCATGGTACGGCTTGTTTATTCCCTATTTTCAGAGTCAGAAACTTGTTCAAAGCCAAGAAGGAAAGAAAAGCTGCAATAAGTTTGGTGAAACTAACCGAAGAGTTTAGGATGCAGGTAATTAATTTGTGATTATCAAAGAAGGAGGTTTGCCTGTCTCGGATGTCTTACATGAGCCAAAAGTTTTACTTTAATGCAAAAACGTCAAAGAAAAGAGCCTCCTATATGCTCCCTAGAAACCTTCCCTAGTGACAGCCATGCTTTAATGTAGTTCCTTTTTAATTCCCTAAGAAAACAATCTTAGCTGTTTTAGACTGTCTTATTTCACCCCGATGGCCACACCCACCCTGTTTACCGTCTGACATTGTGCCATGTCTGTCATGGGAACATCTACACGACAAACCTACTCACTTTCACGTGACCTATGATATCCTGGAAAGTGACGTCAATGGGAGATTCCCGGATGATCCAGACTACGAATACACACCAAAGTCTTTTTATTATAACTTGACAAAGCACTTCCAACAGGATCTAAACAAGGTAAATTTTGATATTTATTCATATGCCTGTTCATGATATACGACTAATGCAATAATATAATAAGATTTAATGGTCCTATTGCTCAAATTTCAGCTTTACAGACCGAAACATTTATAACAGAAACGTGCTTAAATTTACCGCATAGTTTTATAGAATCAGCGTTCGTTAAATATTTCTTCTAGACCTTAAAACGGTCAATAAAGGCACAAGATAACGAGCTTGGCTGTGAACGATTGAAATTTTGGGTTAAGGAAAAGGTGGTTTCACCGGGCCAGCTAAAAATTCATGCGAGTAGGCAAATCTCTGGGAGAGAAACTCATCTATCCTCTAATTTCAAATTAACGACCTCTACTCTATTTTCCCACAGGAAATTTTAAATCACGTTGTAATCAAGTTGCTTACGGAACGAAAGTGGGAAAAGTATGCCGCGTTTTGGTTCAGGTCTAGTATCTCAGATAATAAAACATGTTTTGATTTATTATTAAGACCGATTATATATTCGCTTGTCATCAATTAATAAACAACTATCTGTTTGTGTGCGGTAAACGCTTAAAACTTTCCCCTACGCTCCCTCCCTTGAAAAAATCCTGCCTCTTACCCCTCCCTTTGGAATTTGGAAGTGCTCACATAAATTGTAGTGTGAGCGATATGTGACCCATATGGAAACGTTAGATGTTACTATTTGTTACGAAGATTTGACGCACATGACGGGTAAGTAACGCTTTAGGATAAGTTTCACTTATTTGAAAGCCTGTAGTGGTTTCCGTTTTTAGTATTGTTAGTGTTTCAAGCAATTGAAGCAACCGCGTGCGCATTCATTATTAGCGTTTTGGCTCCTCACGAGCCCGTCATTTGAAAAGGTTGGGTATTAGGAAGCTTTTTGGAAGCTTTTAGGAAGCTTCCGGGCGGATATATTAGTAATACGGTTTTCTTTTAATATTATACATGAACGATTCATGTTGCTTCTTCGCATGTAAATGAGTTTTGGGTTTACTTCAGGCATTAAAAACATTCGTTAAAGACACAAGTGCAAGCTGCAAGCCTGATTCAGACTGAATTTCGTGGATATTTCATCACTTAAATGTGCTTTCCGTTGATTACAGGGTTAGATTTGTCAATTATTTGGTTTTCCTGGTGGCTCTGTCTGCGTCCTTCATGAGTGCTGCAACGTCAGACGATCCGCTGGATTACAAAAGTGCTCCTGGTAGAAAAAGTCTGGAGATATTGTTGAGCTTGATGACATTTTGGTTCATTATTGATGAAATTTCCGAGTTAAAACGGTAAGTTAGCTTGTATCTGACTTAATTTGCATGAAGCTATAATAGTTTTTTGTATCCTCCCTTCGAAAATGATTTACCACCTGCTACAGTGGCGTACATGGATCAAAAAATATCATCCCTCTCACCCTTATATCTTTAGAGAACCACTAGCTTACGTCAAAGACTACTTTAACTACCTGGATCTGTCTGGATACTTCTTAATTGCGGCGACATTTGTTTTCCGATATCCCGGAGGTGATGCACAATGGATCTTTGGTTCTTTGGCAATAATGATAAACTTTGTAGGGATCTTCAAGTACTCAGTTGGGGACAGGTACGGTCGCAATATTCCTTTCATTACAGCTTTTATTGCGGGCATGGGAGTTGGGGGTAGGGCGAGAGCTAAGGGAAAGGATTCGCTAAAACACAAGTCTTTTTCTCTATCACCTCTTTTTAATATAATTCTGTGTCCAATGCACAGTTGTGAGGCCAGTGTATTGATTTATTTTCTTCTTGCCTTTGAAGATACATCGGTCTTTACATAAAATGCCTTGGCATGGTCATCTACAAAGATATTCCAAGGTTTCTCGTTGTGTTCACCATCATCCTGCTAGCGTTTTCAATCTCATTTTACATTGCACTTAAGGCTGGCGACCACGATCTCGGAAGGCAAGTAGAGTCTGAATTTTTTTTTATCTTTTTAATATGTTCATGATGGATCCATCCATCCGGATGAATCAAATAAGTAAATAAATGAGAATTCGGATTAAGCGTTGAACATCCGCTAAGTGTTTGATCTTATCCATTGTTTTTAAGTTTTCCTGGGTTGTACCCTATTTCTCAGCTTTTGTTCTGAGCCACCTATTACATAACATGGAGATATTTCGAAAAAGGGAATGGAGGGTCACACTGTCACACCTAGAACATTTACCGACCCTCATTCGACTTGACCTCCTCGCTGTGTTTTACTTTGTAACAAAGTTGCCATATAACGAACATCCTGACGTCATGACACAGAGTAGTGGTGGCACGCCATCGACTTATTTGTACAATTGCCGACGAATTCCTGGACTTCCCTCTTAGGATTTTCGTTTTTATTTTTTACGCAGACGAAATGTAAACACTAGACTACGTCTCATGTTTCCCTAGCCACAATACTTTTGTGGCCGCTTTTTGTGTGTTCTTCATCAAAACAGAGGAAGCAGAGCACAGTCGAGGCTTCTTATGTTATCTAGACGTCACGTAGATACTTCAGATCGCGAGTTTTAGTCACCTGAATGACATGGTTTGTGCGTAATTGAATTCGGATTAAATCATCTCCTAAAGAGCAGTTCACGGCTAACACAAGAACTTCCTTTAGCTACACCCCTGAATAAACCTCGGCTTAATTTACATTTCTTTCTCTTTAAATTAAGTGCGCTGGGCAGCGAATTTGCACTATGTAAAAATGGTGTAGGATGTGTGATGTTGGCTGGTTTGAAAACATGGCTGGAAGGTTCCTCTGTTGTACGTAGCTTGCCAACTGCTGGGTGAGTTCAGCGACTTTAAGTTTGGAGGCATTTAATTCAGTGTTTTTACGTTTGAAAGTGTTGTAAGTTTTGCTTCCACGACATGGTGAAATATCTTGATACCTTGTGATCCTTGAGATGTAAAAATGTTGAGATGTTGCCGTATTTTACTAGCCTGTGTACAGCCACCTCTTCCCGATTTTCTTTTGGAGGGTGGAAGGGGGGGGAGGGGGGAGGAATACTTATTATTTAGAATCATTCGTTTTACAGTCCGACTGTCCTTTTGAAATCCGCTATCTACATCTACATCAACATCTTTACTCTTTTCTATCCTTGAATGCCATTGGAACTTTTCTACACGGAACCAAACTCAATATAAATGCTTTTTGAGACAATAAATGACTAAAAAACAGGTAATGCTTGCGCTGTTGTTGCTTTTGAATTTATTCAAAGCCATCGGTGTTGACGGTGCATCCTTATTTTTTTTACTTACTCAAAGCAAGTCTGAGCCAGTGGTTGGGATGCAATTAAACTGTTCTCCATCTTTTTTCCATATATGAAAAGAAAAGGTCTAACGGAAAGAAAAAAACTCTTCCGTCTTCCCTGTGTTCAGCTTTTTCGTTATTAACACACTTGATATCTAATATTGCTTCTCTTTTTAGATACAGTTGGCTTGGGGCATTACTGGCAATATTTTTCATGATGAGTGTCGTCATTATTCTTCTGAACGTGCTGATCGCTCAGCTCTCGTTGACGTATGAGATGGTTCAAGAGGAGTCGCTTCTTTCTTTCTCTGTGCTACGAATGCAGTCTGTGGCGACTATTGAGTGGCAGAGCCGCTTTAAATACTGGGTGGGTACATAGAAAAGAGTATTCACCTATATTTTTGGTCAAATATGTGCTTTGCTGAATCTTGGCTTGAAATAAAAATGTGTTTAAACGAATTTCTTGCAGAATCTCAGAAAGAAGTATTACGTACCCGGGGAAATCAAGAGCAGAGAGGAAGTCGAAGGTAAAGTGTATTAAGATGATAAGGCATTTCTTATCATACTGTGAAAATAAGGAAATCTAGAGAGAGGCTTCAAAAGTGACGGGCCACTGGGTGCGTAAGAACTAACGCGGTTTTGTAACTTTCTACAGAAATGATGAAACAGTATCGGGAAAGCACGAATCCGACATCACCCACGGCCTATGAAAAGTGGCACGTTCAAGAGCCGAGCAAAGTCCACGTTTTTTATGAAGGCCCTATTGAACATAAAAATCTCTTCACTCCAGTACTAAAAGAAACCGGATCACTCCGACATTAATTAGTAACTCGACTATTATTTTTTCAGAATTTTTCTGTAGAGAGGCGAAGATCATCCATGCAGGGAAGGTTTTAATTAGTCTAGCTCTGCGCTTGGAAAATAATCGTGCTAATCTCTTGTCCAATCCTCGGAAGTGCATTTCTTTAAGTTGAACTTTTGCGATGGTTTTCTGTCATATTAACTTTAGTCTCGACTGGCACTTTGTTTTTGTCAGTTAACGTCACCTACTTGAGAAGCGCCAACGGGCTAAAAAGTTAAAAAAATTTCTGGAGGGAAATAATACTTAATAATTATAATCATCTCAGTAATGGTTTAAAGGGCCTGACTTAAAATAATCGGTCCTTTTTTACCGAACCAGCAAAGGCGGCCCAAGTTCCAGCTGTGAGATGATCATCCTGCAAAATAAGAGTTATGGCGAAAATACAAGAGTTTGTAAAGGAATATTTACGACCGCTCTTAGGAAGTAAAAATACAGTCAAATTCTCCATAACAATAGCTTACCTTTCTATCACGAGGTGTTGCTTGTTTTGTGACCACTTCCTTTGCTGCGACGAGGCCGTTTTAGCGAGTTATCCATTTCTTGGTTTACTCCTTCTCTTAGGAGTAGTAAACCTAGAAAGGAATAACTCGCTAAAGTGGCTACTTTTCAACATAGTAAGCGGCGGTCAGATAACAAGCGATGCACTGTGGAAGTAAGGTGAGGTATTTTTATTGAGAACTTCACTCTTTTTTTACTTCTAAGAGCGGTCCTAAATATCCTCATACAAACTTTTGTATTTTCACCATGATTCTTAATTCACAAGATGATCATCTCACAGCTGGAGCTGCCTGTGAACCGTTTTTTTTGTTGTTGGCATTTTTTGGTTGATAACTTGTAAATCAGCAGCGTGTTGTTTTTAGTTTTCAATGTGACCCGTGCGATGCGGGTTATGTAAGTTACACACGCGGACATTTACATTAAAGAATAAAAAACGCGCCGAGTGCATTGTTGAGTTATATAAGTTCGCGAGAATTTTTAAGAACACTCTAGGAGTGCGAGAAACACCTTTTATAAGAGCTTTAAGGCCAAATCTTAACGTGCAATCAGACTCCACTCGGGCGAAAGTATTTTCAAAATCTTCGCACCCTCTGATGTTAATTCTTCGCGCCAAAATCGCTTTAAATGCTGTAATATGCTTGATATTGTGTATTTTACCTTGGTAATGGCGTCATGACGACTCCGAAACTTCGGATTTTATCGTTCGTTTTTACCGTTTTAAGTTCTGGTTGACAGCTGCATTGAAATTAGAAATAATCGACCTTAGCGCTTAGCGAGTTCTCCTTGACCACTTCTTTGAGCATTGAAAGCACGATTTAGCGGCCAGAAACGCAAAACACCGCAGGCGAGAAACCGTCTTTGTTAGTCTTCGTCGAAATCTTCATTTGATGCACGTGGTTCTCCTTCGTAGGGCTGAACCGTACACTTACATTTCTTCTCTACTACTTGAGTACGATGTATCACAACTCTCGGTAGAGCTTGCTGAAGGTTGGTATACATTTCTATTGGACGTTATTTCAAAAGTATGTCAACGCTGACTGATACAAAATTACAAGAGAAGTGAGAGATATGTAAGTGTCAACTAAGAGCTTTCACAGTTTTCTGCGTCATCACCCGCTAATTCGTCACCAGTCCACGGGACACTTTTAAGACAAAATAAGAGAATTTTAGGGCCCGAAAAAAACCGAGTTTTAAATTTTTTGAAATTTTTATTCTATCGGAATTGGTTTGTAAATATGATAAGCTTGATATTTACGCAAAAAGTTTTTCGTGCCATAGGCACTTTTAAGCCATTCTTACTGAATTACTTTACATTCAACTCACTATCTCTTTTCTGATTGGCCGAAGCGTACGTCGAAATCTACGCCTGGGACGTCATCTAGCTGCAGATTATACAATTATCAAGTCAAGGACACCCAAGGTCACGGGTAATCATGTCATGCAAGACTGCGGTACAGGAATTCTTAGGCTTATCAAGTCACGTTCGTGTGCTTTGTGTTACTTGCCGATTTGTATATTTTTAAATAAATTATCAGTTCCACTTTTTTTTCTTTCAAGGGTTATTCTAGATATCGCAAAGACCTCATCCAATATTTGTTTTTATTTTTTCTCAGAGGGCACGGTAACGAATCCTGTTATCTGATTGGTTCTTCGCGCGGTCCGTATTTTCCTATCTCTGCCCAGGGGCAGGGTAACGTTCTCGTGAGTCGCCGAGTACATCCCTACCTTCACTACCGTTTTCCGGCTGGGCAATATTTTTAAGCAAAGACGTCGGTCACAACCTCAAGCCGATAAATAACTTATCATTTCTCTCTCTCAATCGTTTGTTGCGAAATGAATTTGTATAAGCAAAAGTGTCACTAGATTGGTTGACAAGCAGCCTAAAAACCGTCTGTAATTAATGTTAATCATTCACAAAAAGTACCTAGAAAGTTAAAACGAGAGGTATTTGGTTACAATTGAATTAACGATGGAACTTTTATTCATTTAATATCTGAATTCTCTCAGACTTTTTGTCCGTAGTGAGAGGGCGAGCGAAGTTTTCAGTTCTACTACGAATACGCTTTCGGTGAGTCTTTCCAAGTCCGTTCAATTTGGGCATTTGTATCGTAAATTGCACAAAAGAAACTGAAGGAATTCAATGGGAAAAAGTCGCATTAAATCTCCTTGTGTCTCGTTGAAGTGCTTATTCGAATTTAGTTTTTGTAGAGGAAATTAAAGACCAGGTTTACACACGCCATTGTCGCAAACAAACGAGCAAACTCTCACAACTTCAAAATAAAAAAATTTGATTTACTTACAATTAATTTCCTTGTCATTTTCTTTATGAACAGAAGTTAATTTTCTAACGTTAATCAATCGTCGATGAGAGTGAATAATCTTCCCGTAAGATCATTGACTGTTTTTGAAGAAAACATGGTCGTGACAGTCCTTCTTTCAAAAGTGTACATGCGCTTTTTTTTACGCGCTCTCTAAATTACCGGTGTCAAATTATGACAAATACTCGTAAAATGATGTTTAAAAGTTTGTCTGGAAACCTTTTCAATTATCTTTATCATTACATGAAAATGAAAATGTTTCGGTGAAGTCTCTCTTTAATTTGCATTACCTCTATCTTAACTATCATTTACTCGTTCAATAATTGTTCAGTTTATGGAAGATCTTGTAGTAATTACAGCCCTAAATCATTCGGGTTCTTTCGAAAAGAATTTCTTTAAGACCTCTGCACAGTTTTTCCTAATACTGACCTCCCGGCTGGCGAATAACATGTATATAATTAGTTAATAGTAATCCGACAGTTCCAAAGTACAAACTTCAATAACAACTGTACTTGTAATTTTAGCCACCCGTGGGAGGGATATGATTTCCTTCCGACGCAAAAAATCAAATTTTATCTCTTCCTCTGGGCATGTTTATTTTTTGAACGGCGTTCAGGAACATATGATCTTGAAATTGAAGAACGAGATAGTGTTATACCTGATATCTCTTCAAAACACCAGTGATAGGGAAAGTAACTATACTTAGCTTCACTTCCTGGAAACAAAACTGGAGAAGAATCAGAGAAAAATCTGAAAAATAATCAAATAGCGTCGTAGCACCTATTGGCCTCTTCATCATCTATATTAGCTCATCCAGCTCAGAGATCAACCAACCAAGTTCTCAGCAAAACAGAAACGATTTTTGGTGATAAAATCTTCGCTCGTTCAACAGCGGCAGTTTGCCAATTAAATTATTTGTGAGAGCACCCCAGGTAAACTATAGTATTATTAAAGACATTAGGGCAAAAACCTTCTTTGTGCTAAAGGGCACTTTATAAATCGCTGATGCTATTGAAATCTATTCTGAATAATAGAAATAATAACTGAAATAATATTTTTAATTTTCAAATTTCAAATTCTCTTTTGATATTCATTTTTAAAAGATTCAAATTGTTTGAACTGCGAATATTCAGACTACTTCCTTTAACTTGCTGAAGACCAATTTTTAGAATAGATACTTGATCTGTTTTAAAGTCAGTTGTATGAAAAAGTCCTTTTTTTCCCCCTCACATGTACCATGACCATTTTGCATTAATTTCGTTAATAGCTGCCAGCAACGGAAATGATTATTTGGATTTCCACCTATCTAACTCGGTCCAGTTTTAATATCGACCATAGGGGCCAAAGCGGTCACTGTTCAAGCCAACGATCACAGCAGAATTTGTCCGTGAAGAATCTTGATTTCTTCTGTTCAAAGTAAGGTTATAAAGTTGTTATGAGAGATCTGCCGCGGCTTTACTTTAACATGTCTTTTTCCTTTTTTTCGTCATTCTTTTTTGACAGTGGCTTGCTCGAAGCGCGCAATATTTTCTAGTTGATCCAGTTGTAGTCTTTAGAATATGCGGCAGCCTCTCTCTCGTACTGGTCCAGTTTATCAAATCTAAACCAGTTCTTGCATAATATAAGGCACTTTTCTATCATGTTTCTCTTTGCTTAAATTTCCGTACGTTTAATTTTCCGAGTTCTATTTTTCCAGCTTTCTGAGGTTTTAGGAATAAGGTGGCGAGTAATCTTTAAAGAGTGCTGACTGTGATTCGAGTTTATGTTCGTTTTTAAATCGTAAAGCGTCAACAGGAAATTACGCTACATAAAGCTGAAAGCCTTGAATGAATTCTAACTGGAATTGCGGCAAACCTCACTGTGCTTCTCAAATAGCTAGACTATGTATTTCAACCAAGTTGCTTTCTCGTTTGGGGTCAATTTCGACAATGCTGTACGTGATCAGGTGAAGCGAAACAGGGAAGTATAGCTAGATGAATCAGATTTAAAAAGAGCAGGAAGTGCAATGATAGCAGATGGGCTCATAATTCAGAATAAAAAGTATAACTTAGAATCAAATACGATTTTTCACTTGAGAAAAAGAGAAAGTTTCATTTTTAGAACGATAGCTGAGGGGAGAATGATTTCTAGTTACTTGTGCGAACAGCCTTCGATATCTTTTGTTTAAATTTGAAATACTAAACTTGTACCGTAAAATGCGTTTAGAGAGAATCTTTATCTGCATCAGACGGCTTTGAGCATCGTCACAGTGGAAACGATATCAGCCAATGATTAATCAAACATATAAGTATATATCTCACTGACACCATGAGATGAGAATCCGTCTCCGAAACCGACACCAAGCGTAAGTCTCCAAATACTTTTTTTTCAGTACGTGGGGAGATATCATCTAATGGTCAAGTTTCTCTTTAATTTCATTATCAGCCCTTTCTACGACATGTTGTTACTGTCTCTATCGGAGGCGCTGAACATTTGAAAATCTGCTTGATGGCTGCCCTTTCTAAAATCGAATGGGCAAACTAGGCCATCTGGTAGTCTAACTCAAACCCATTGTGCCCTCGGCTACTTAAAATAAAGCATATGCATTTGCGCTAAAGCAGGAAAAAGCTAACTGCCCTCCGGACTAGCGGCCATTTTTAGCCACAGATTTGCCACAGGGTGACCAATCGGAGAAGAGATAAGCCAAATGAAGACATCCGTTTCCGAAAATTGTACTTATCACTTGAAAAGTCTCTAACAATCTTGAGGTTTCTGCTCCTGATATTGATGGGTTTTTTTAAATTTTTTTTTATTTAAGTATTAAATCACAAAGGGAAGAAAGAATCACGATGACCCCATTGACCATAAACACGCGTTTTTCGACAGATTGTAGGCAAAAGTAATGCCAAAATGTATGCCTTAGCGACGTAGCGACCCTAAGCAAACCATAACGGCGACGAAAACGAGAACGTGACAGAAAAAAAGGATCTAATGAGCAGGAAAATAGCTCGGTTCGTGCGTTTTAAAAATTTTGTAACTTTCTCCACCATATTCTGCAAGACAACGACACTAAATTACCAAAAAAATTACCATAAAAACAATTATATGGTTGACAGTAAGGAGAATTACAAACTTGATCTGGGAGTTAAAGGGTTAAGCTGAAGTTGAGGTGTGGCGTCGTAAAAGACGGTAAACATATTCAGGCTTTCGCAAAATTCTACATAAGAATAGAAATTCCTTTTTTAATCAATATCTTCCACGGCCCTTTTATTCTGAATGCTACAGGTGCCGATCACTGAAAACAAATCTCTAAACTTAGTAAGTCATCAGACGAGTTTCCCGATAACTCTAACCTTTAATTGTACAATGAAGCCACTTGAAATGCCTAGTTCCTCTTTCAACAAATTAAATGAAACGATACAACTTCTGGCATCTGTAGTATTTTGTAATTTCATATAATAGCTACATAAAGGTTGGACGTAAGACAAGCCTTTTGATTTTTTAAAAAAATGATTTTCAGCTGAAACTGTTCGGATTTGAAACAAAGTGAAGAACGTTTTAAGTGAAAAATTACCAAAAACCAGATACACTGTAGGGGATAAAGTAACCAAACATTACATTCTGATGGTAAAGCATAGATTAAAATGTCCTTTTGAGAATTTGAGCAGCTCGACTAAAGCTTCTAACTCAAACACGTGACGCTTCTTAGCGATTGGTTCAATCTACTTAGACACTAACTTTTACGCAACATTAACAGTTTAACAGTATAAGTAACTCTCCTTCTTTCGCCTATGAATGACAGCAAGTCCTTTAAATATAATTCTTGTTGATAATGGCTTAAAAAAGTTGATTTAACTACATTAATAATTTTGTTGTTTTACGAGAGGGGATCCTACGATAGTTTTATCGTACTTTTCGGTTGTAATGTCAAAAGAATCCGGAATTGTTTTGGTTTCTCATTCTTCTCTCAATGATTGGTCTGGAAGACTCGCACCAATCTTTTAACAAAAAATTAGTAACTCAAATAAGATCAATCGCTAATCAGGCAGCTACATTTTCGCGATTCAGTCAGCAAGCTTGATTTTATTTAGATTTCTTATTAGCTTTTTGTAATATTGTTTATTTTCTGATCGGCTGTTGCGATTTATACGCTAGAATAAAATGCCATCTAACAAGAATTCATGTGTTGTCGGATCACTTCAGAAAAACGAGGACGAATATGAAGATCTGTAATGTGCTCCACCAGAGGAAGCCCGGGCTCTAGTAGCAGCGCCTTGGCCAGTGGAATGACTTACTTCTTCAAGAAAACTGCGAAAAAAACAAAAGTGAATATTAAATGTTAGACGTATTAATCATGACATGATAGCTCTGTTTCCACTAGAAGAGAATAACTAATAAATTTGAAACTCAAAAGAGAGAAATTTAGGTGACGTTTTCAGGAAAATGAGAAATGATAGATGACCAAATGCGGAAGTGCCAGTATAACTAAAACGAAAGCAACAATTTGCCATTGAAACGATAGAGGTAAATTAGTTGTCGAAAAATGCCACATCTAAGGCTATCCGGTGTGGTTGCTTATTTGAAGTTAAGTCACTACATGCAGAAGAACGCTGAACGATTTGTGGTTAAATTATTCCTTCGTTTGGAATGGTTAACAACTGTTCACCATTGTGAAAATGAATAGTGGTGGATATTTACTTTTGTCACTTAAAACTTGGCGACCTAATTTACAATTACAGGCAAATTCAAACAATCCGGCTTCTAAACACGTACGAATAATTATAAATTGATCTTTTTATCCTTTTACTCAATATTCCTTTCAATCATCATTTGAACAATTTAAATTAAACCCTCTACTTTTGACTCCGGCCAATATTTTGTAGAACGAACAAGCCCCAATTTACGACAGAAAAGAAAAATATTCAAAAAAGCTTCTCAAAAACTTTTTCATTCTTCTTTCGTTTCTTTGCCTATTTTTCTTCCCAATTATTGTGGATTTGGTTACGTGAGAGAGGAAGCAAAGTGACCATAAAATTTTCCGTCTCTTTCTTCGTGAACATGAAAGCTGACAACTATTGCCGTGACTTTGGTTTGTAATCCAAAAATAGCATCCTAAAATTCGCACGGATATTATAGTGTATTGGAAATGATCCAATTTACGTGGTTAAGTTTAAAAACTCCTTAGAGGAAGGTGCAAATAAAAGTGTAAATCAATCTAACGTTATCTTTTCCTTCAAGGTACTAGAGTTACTAGCGCAGCAAAACGAATATATTGTTTGCTTGAGGACAAGAGTGGGTGCGACTGTCACAAATGGATACAATTTCATTATAATTCTAAATAGAAACCTGAAATCCTTGACCAAGAAAAAATTATCAAAACTAACAGCAAATTTTATGCTATGGGCGACCTGCATGTTTTAAAACTTCGAACGAATCTTTCATCGAGAAAGAAAGAATATCCTCACAATAAAGAGGGTGACAAAGGCCTTATACGTGATGCGTGATCGAGGCCAAAATCAAGATGTGATAAGTGAATTTTACGGAAAGGTGAGCACGATTCCTGAATTTAGAAACAGTGTGTGGCGGGATCTGGCTCCTGAAATACGTGACCCGTAAACTTTTCCTTTCAATATCGTTTTCGCGATATTTGCGCTCTTTGAAATTGTTACGAAAACCACTGAGCGGAAGATCCTGGAGAGATATTACATATTCTGTTGATTTAGAAACAATTTAGAATCCACAAGAAATGACAGTTGTGTCATAATTTTTCCGGAATGGTGCGAGACATGCACAAACGAGATCGGTTTGATGTGTGCAGTGGGTACGTCACGAGAGGAGATATTAACAACCTGCCTTTGTTTTTTATCAATCACAGATGTCGTCAATACTGAGTGAGACGAGGAAATTTTAGGCACAGCTCTCACGTTCTCGAGGTAAGAATCTTTAACTTTTGTCAATAAGATACGGGCAATTTTGCTTCGCACTCTGGATGCGCAACATAAATCGTTTACCATAATTCTAAGGGAGTAACTTTTAGCTATTCTTTCGTTCATACATTGACTATTTTCAAGAAATTCGCTAGACAAGAGAACGTGGAAACTTTATAAAACGTTCAACGGCGCCATGCACAGAATTGACTTACTTTATCTCCAGGATTCAGCCAACTCCCAAATCTGGCGCAGTTTCCCACAAAATTAAAAAATGGTTAATTTCTACGATCATCTAGTTCTGCGTTTCAGTAAAAGGCTTGTGCAAGCACACAAAGAACAATTTTTTGCTAAGTATCATTAACGCTTTTACATCATTATCTAAATGTTGCATATTTAATGAGAGTTCTTGTTTTCGTTTCACTTTGCAACGCCAATATTAAGCTAAGATTTCTACGTCAAATTACGGGGCATAATTAAAGGGTAGGCTGCTCATATTCTTCCTGGAAAACCAATACACTCAAGGTTGGATAAAAAAAGAAAAACATCAACAACAACTCAAGGCTTTTTTCGGGTTTCAATGATAATTTTTCCACGGGTTACTACTTCTGCATGCAGAGGGCCAGGTAAATCTCAAACAACTGATTCAACATGGATTCTGGACAAATGCCATAACATGGGAAAATAAAACTAATAATAATAATAATAATAATAATGATATAATAGTAACAAAAATAACAATAAAGACAACGAAGGGAAAAATGTGGTCTAAACCTTGCTTCTACATCGTGATTTCAATGATCATAAAATTAACATAGAGAACAAAGCTGAGAAGAGTCTCTTGGATGCTTGAAGTGATCTGATCTGCAAATTTACATTAGTTAGGAACGGCGCCTTTTATCCATTGGTCAAAATACAATGAGTTAAAGTGTTATTAAGTCTCCCACTTCAACCTTAGCAGAATCAAAGACGTATTCATTTTCGTACGACTATAGTGATGTCGATCAAACGCCGTTGAAAGTTGTGTATCTTAGTGTTCCCAATCGAGATGACAGAAAGCTTGAAAGATAATTATGATCTTTGAGTTCGTGAAGAAAGAAAAAAAACTGGGTTTAAGTAAGTCTCAAATCGAACACACCGTACATAAAATCAAAGAAGGCTCATATTCACTCGCAAAGTTAAAAAAGTATTTACTGAGAGGTGTGGAATACTGTATATAAATCGAAGTTAGCGAATGTTTACACAGCTGTTCCGACTTCGCATGTATTAATTTTCGCTCTCGGAAAGGGACAAAGGTTATAAAACACGTCAAAGTCTGACTCTGTCGTCTTCGTTGTTCACAGTCACAGAGCCGAGTTTAAGCCAACCAGACTTGACACTTAAATTATACGAAGATAAAAGGCTATATTTTGAACGCAAAGGTGGAATACAGCGTTATCGTATTATTTCAGATAGGATAACATCTTTTAGCTATTTCATAGTTATTATATGAGTATTTATTTTAATATTAATTTTAAGGTATTTGGAACTATTAATCATAATAGTTATGAAAATGATGATGATGATAATAATAACTAATAACATCGATTAAAAAGACTGAATTTTGCAGAGATAATTTATGGCATGTACTTAAGTCTGCGATTCTCGTCGCAGGTAAACGTTAAACAGAACCAAGTGCCACTTTAATTCTTGCCCTCATTGTCCTAAACGAATTTACGAGCATAGCCCTCGAGTACAAGTTCATTGCAATCACAGCTGAAGAAATATAGTATTAACTTACACAGCGCCATTTATCACTGTTATTTTAAAAGATTGGGATAGAAAGAGAGGTTAAGGGTACCTTTTGCAGTTATGAATTGTGGTTCCTCCAAGAACAATTTTCACTCCAGGCAATGTCTTGTTTAAGTTATAAACAGCATAAGCCTCCTCGTAAGTTGCTCCACCAACCATAAACAAGATAATTTCTTGGGGCCTTTAAAATAGATAGTAATAAATCAAAATTCTACTCAGTGAAAAAGATTGCAGATTCCTAGCTCGGTTGGATAAGATATAAAGAATTTAATCTTAGTTAGAGTACTCGCGGGCGACAAAGAAACCCTGGAGGTTTTTCCCAAGAGATAAAATCCTGTACAATTGAGATTTCGTGATCGGATGCTATTCCAACCTTTCTATGGCACTGGAAAGGAGAATTTGTTTAACAATTAAAAGCTTCTTCCGTTGGCGATGAGTCCTTTTATTCTCATACTGTACTGATTGATTCAGCAACGATACTGTCTAGAGAAAAGGGCTCAACGTTGAAACGAACGCTTTAAACAGAGAAAACCTAGGACTCGGTGTTTTGTTATTGTTTCGTTGTAAACTAGTGTTTTGTCAATTCAAGGGTTATAAAAACCTTGGTGACTTACCAAACAAAAAGAGGTTCTAGACATTACACGTAAGTGTGATTGAATGTATTGCATATGCCTAAATCCTCACAAATAAAAGTCTCATCAGCAAATTTTCAGAAAATCAGTTCTCGGACTACAAGCTTTGCACTGGCTTGCAATTGTACTTGTACACGAACTCTGACTTTTTTGGGGGTTAATATTTTGAACTTCAAGGCTGTTCTACATGAGAGTCTGTAAAAATTTGGTAAAGAACTGTAAGTGGTTCCTACCTGTCTCGCAGCACTGACGAACCAATGTATGGGAACTGCGTGTCCTTTAACTTTCCTTTCACTAAGCTGTCCAGTGTTTCAGAGATCAAAGGAGTATGCTGTGTGTAGATGTTTTCGACTCCCTGAAAATACAACAGGATTACCGGTTTCTCTTGCAATCAGGGGGAATTAATCAAAATAATCATCAAAAAAATCTCACTACATCAAACACTGAGGGGACTACAGAAGGAATCCTAGAACAAAAGATCATTTGTTTGCGAGGCTAAAAGGCGAGTTTTAATAGCTGCCGCAAATCACTATTTCGACGTAATTTATACAGTTCAGTTAGTACTGTTGAAGAGACTGTGTCGTTTCCCATGAAACGGGAAATACCCATCATAAAGTCCTCATCTCCTGGGCCGAGTAACGAAAATTCAACACTGCACGCACTTGTCTCCAAACGAAAATCTATTTTTATTTTATTTTCCCTATTTTTTCCTTCTCGCTAATCATAATTGAAAAGCTATTGTCGGGGAGCCTCGTCAAAAATCTAATCAACAATGTCCGTTTCTTTGATCTTTCGTCGTAACCTTCTCATAAAATACAAAGCATTAGTTTAACAAACCGCCCAGGTTTGTATTTCAAAGTCATGTCCCTCCATCGTAATCAAAAACACTAAAGACGCTACCTTTAATCCCTTGAAGAATCTCCTCGTCAAAGACAACGGGGTTTTATTTTGCCCAAAGAGATCACTACCCCTGACACTCCTGCCGCCATACTGGATTAGAGCCGTCACCGTCTGAGCATACAAGACAAAAAATGTTTGCTAAAACATAATCGTTTTGGTCTATTTGTTTGTTTATCGTTTGTGCCGCACTTTTTCAGAGCTTATAATTTGTATTGCTGTCTATTTTCCATTCCCATTTTTTATGTATTGAACATTCATAACCCAGTTCATTATCAAAAAAGTAAAATGTCGATATTCGGGCACTATCGTCATAATTGTTTTTCGTAACTTTCTAAATGCGCGCAATTATATGAAAGGTGCATTATTCGTGACTTTTTTTTAACGAAAATCCTTAAGTAATACGTTGTTTATAGAACACATTTTGCGAAAAGCATTTTTATGAATATTGATCTTGATATACAGAAAGTATAGTGATTTGTGGACTGCTGTTACCAAGAATCATTTAGGAAACACCCTGAGTACACAAAGACAATATGAAACGCTTTTCAAGGCAAGGCAAATGGTCTTTAAATGACTCTCCCGTTTTGCTGATCTATAAGGACTACAAACACTTTATTTGATTTGGACTTAGTTGGTCTCTTTTTTAGAAGTGGTGATCCGGACTTGTCTCCTAAATTGTTTATTTGAGTCTGTCGAAAGAACAGTATATAGACGGTTATAAGTCCGAGTGTTACACGCTTGAATCAATATATTGGGGCATGACTGACAATATAGATCCAAGTTCCGGCGATTTTATAACATTAACACTATCAGTTCTAAACCGCAATTTCACATCGTTTTCTGAAAGCTCTTTTTCTTTTGTTTATCTCTCAGGGCTTTTTGAAAGATTCCTGTAAAATTGATAATGCGAATTTTATGTCTCAGGGTTTTTCTTTCTTGGGTTCAAATCACACACACATCGAGGACCGAAAAATAAATACAGCAGGGAGTGATGCTAATATTGCGATAACAATCCATTTGCGATTTGACGTGCCACTACAAAAATGGTCCATAATTAACATGAAAATAATATCACTCCCACACAATTAAGCCCAATTCATGTTTTTGCTAAGGAAAATTGAATTGGTTTATGTCACAGTCGCTTAGCTTCCTTTGGTTCAGCAAAAAATGTGTTGGTTTCACTCTAAGCTTCATTCTATTCCTTTGCTTCTACAAAGAAATTGTACTTTCTTTGTTGCGGAGAAGAAACAGCCCTCCGAAAAACATCGCCATCTGTTTACACAGACAAAACGACTGAAACAGTTCAACACAAACGACGGTAAAAGCCAGCTAGCGTTTCTTAATAGGAAGGACAATTTCAGGTGGGAAAATCGAGAGAAATTTATTTCCATGTGCTACGCCTGTCAGAGTGTCACAATTATACTTTAACCATTTGTAATTAATTTCCTATTTCCCTCTAAAGCAAATAACATCCCATTTCATTGAAAGCTTACAGGACGCAAATATCTGCTTACATTGTAAAAAAAAAAAGGTTTTAACTCACGACATCTATTTTATACACAGAGTTAGCGCATTACACATTAATTTGGAAATTGCATTGGAATATTGGGAGTCGAAATTTTTCATAGAAGTTTGTAAATCGACTCTTAAAGTATACTAGAATTTTAAAGAGCGGATTCGTGAAATTAATTTAACCGAAGCTTACGCATTTTAAAAAGGGCGAATTACGCAATTTGCATGAAGGTAACAACCCTTCTGGTAATTTCCGGTAATCCTCAATTTGCAAATTACTGTATTTGGGAGTTTGTCCTTTATAAATTACAACAAAAACTTTTGGATATTCTATCGGCGGCAGGCAAGCTTGGTGGGGAAACACCACACCAAATTGCGTAATTAGATTCAATACTCGTTTTGGAAGTGGAAAAGACGATTTAAGTCCACCAACTTGCTGCTTTTCAAAAAACTGTTCATTTTGGTAGGTTTTTCATAACAAGATCAAAAGATTATATTAACCAAGTGTCCCGAGAAGGAGTCCTATTAATACTGATGATCTGAGCACTCTTTCATTTAAAAGATGATATCTCATTTTTTTCCTCTCAATTTCCAATAACGTATTTGTGTGAGTACCCTTCCATATTCTTGTCGGGCGGTTGGAATTAACTGAAAATTAATAAGTACCTTAGTTAGCCGTCAACTTCTTCATAAATTTTCCATTTCAATACCGCATTTCTTTTTTTAATTCAAAAGTTTGCCTAGCTTTATATAATCAGTTTTCTAATAACATCTTTTTCTTTCAGTGGAGCGAATTAAATGTGTTACAATTGAGGTCAGAAGGCGACAACTTGCAAACCGAAGGAAGACGAAAGTATAACGACTTTACTAGTCAGGTTGAGGAAGTAGAGAGAGTGTATATCTAGAACTATACCAAACAAGATTCGTCGGGGAAAGAGGAAAAATTCAAACAAATCTGGAAAGAAATCTACGGAAGAAAGCATCTGTGCTGAGGCGAAGAAATCTTTTTAAGCGAAGAGAAGAAAGATAACGACATGAACCACATCAATGACAGCAACTTAACTAACAACAATGGGAAGGAAGACCTATTCAATAGCGACCCGACAGTGCCGTTCATTAACTACGGCTTGCTCTCGTTTTCCATCATCCTCGCAAACAGTCTAATCCTGCTGCTCATCTGGCGCAAACGGCGACTGCGCACCACATCCAACATGATTCTTACAAGTCTCGCAGTAAGTGACCTTCTAACAGGTTTGATAGCGGTGCCAATGGTTATTGTCTGCTCAGCCGTTCAGCGTTTCGAAGTATGTCTCCCTATGGATATCTCCAACCGCTTTCTGGCTTTCTCGTCCGTGGGCCACCTTACTCTCTTATCCATCGACCGTTATATAAGAGTAACCAAGCTTCTGCAGTACCCGTCCATCGTAACAGAAGAGAGACTTCGTTGTGCTCTGGCTTCTGTCTGGATGTTCGCGCTGCTGGCCTCAATGATACAGCTTAGCTGGATTCTGCACCCCACAACAGCTGAGGACACAGTGAATCGTTTTGACCTCGGATACGACTTCTTTCACATAGCTGCCCTAGTCGTGGTTCCCTTACTTGTGACGAGCGCCATTTATACCAAACTTTTCACTTTCCTTCGAAGGCAAAGCAACGAGATCCACAGCGAACTTACCAAGGGCTCGGGATCTCAGGTCAACAAAGGCAGACGACAAGTAAACGAGAAGAAAATCGCAACGATCTTCATCGCCATGATGGCGGTGTTCATCGTTGGACTATTTTTCTATTTTATGTGGGCAATTATGAATGATCTGCACGCCATAGGGCAGCATAGTATGTCGCCAAAGGCAGCTAACGCAATAGTCACCACTATCGTTTTCCTTCGCTTCTTGACAGCGTTGTGCAATCCGCTCCTCTGTACTTTCATGAAGCAGGACTTTCGCGACGCTTTAAAATCTTTGGTTACTGGACTAAGGCGCTCGGATACAGCGAGACTGACCAGCTTTTCATCGAGAGCGCGTGCAGTAAGTTCAGTTTATAGTAGTAGGGAGTGATTGAATGGGGAAATTTGTGGTGAGTGCAGGAGTCAAGTTTCGAGCAAGAAAAAAAATAATAAAATGTATATCGCACATAAGTAAATCGTCTGGGTATTAATGAGCTATGATGGTAAAGAAATGGTTGACGACAAAGACAATCAAACAAGATCATGAAAAGTGGTTTGACAAAGGAAAAAAAACAAAACAAAAACCAAAAAACTTGGATAATCTTGTCAGTCTTTCGTTATAGACTACTAGGAAGTATAGGTGTAATTTCATGTCACAAACTATGAAAGGATTCTTACGCAAGTTATTCGGCATAATTTGATAGATTCTTTTTGAAATGGAAGGTTTCAGTATGTATATATATATACAAATACAAAACAAAACAGAAGAAACACAAGAGTGGGCGCATTTTCTTACTCTGTCGATTGCTTCGAAGAAAAAAAGAAGTCAATTTACCTTAGAAATTTACCCGTTTGTTTTCAAGCCTGAGTGGTATGTGTCTCGCATAAATATCAGATAAAATACCATGTCAACACGCGGTAGACGAACTTTATAAATTACTGGTTGTATTTAAAATAATTTACATAGCTTTAAGAGTTGAAATGAATAACATAGAACGACCCTTTTCTAAGGTAAAGCATATTTAAAAGGCGATATATGTATTATACGAGAAGGGAAGCCAAGTTGTAAAAAGACATATGGGAGAGAGCCATCAATAAAGGTATACATAAAAAAGCTGAGTACACACGATTCTAACGGACGCTTTACATTTTGAAGCTGTTTTAAAGCTTAAACTACTTTATCTATTTACCAGCTCTTTCGACAAGGGGAATACAGTCTTTTTTTCTGGGTGAGAAGATGAGGGGCGTTAATGAGAACGAAAGCGAGGAAACATATTTTGCATATAATATGGTACCACGAAAGCATTGGCTAGAAAACGATCTGATGTTCTACTAAATTTGGGGTTCGCCTAAAATTTTGTTGCACGAAACCAGAAAAATTTTCACTTAAATTCTTAATCAAAGGAGTCCACCAGAACGGTTTGAATACGGCCCTGCAGAAACAGAGCCCTTTTTTTGTGGGTTTAAGGATGTACAATTTAGGTTTCGATTTTCGACAAATGGAATACCATACAACACCAAACTTACTGCAGTTGCGCTCTAAAAACAACTGGAAAAAAATACATGCTCTTACAAACAGAAGACGGAAACAGGTGAACACACATTAGGCGAGAACTGCGAGCACTTCCTAATTCAAAGAACATCACGATCGCATTTGATTGGACAGTTCAATTAGGTTACACAAAAATGTAAACCTAGGAGATCCGGAAACTTCTACTGTAGTTGCTAGGAAACCATACAGCTCTAATGATACGCACCTTCTTAAGAGGTTCGCTGACCCCTCTTCTTGACAACATGTTCAACAGGCCACCCACGTCATTGCTGCTATGTTTTTCGTAACGAAGCGCGTACAGGGACACCATCCTAACCATGTCCAGCTCAGACACATTCTCATTGGTGAGTTGCCGACGGACATTCTGTGGAAATTCATAGTACGATGAACTGAAAATCCAACTATAAAAACATACACTTTTCCACACTTTTTTTTAATCAAGAAAGAGTTTTAGAGCGATACTATTTTATTTCTCAAATAAATCACTCAAACCAAACTATTAAACCTTTGTATCCAACCATCAGTATGCATATTCTCCAAACTGTTCTCTTCACATTTTAACAATTTACAGCTTCTCTATTTGATGATCATTTCCCCTTTTCTCGTGACCTTGAAATTTAGGGGTGATATTGTATGGAGAAATTACATGCTGGTCACTCTTAGAAGTCAAAGGCTTAACACTGACTACGGGTTAACATTGGGTTAAAGGTTTAGCATCGCTTTTCCTTCTGATGACATTCCTTACTGTGGTTACATTCATAAAAGGTTATTTCTCAAACATCATACATCACCAAAATGACTTCAATGAGTTCATATTTGAAATAAAAAAAAGCTTTTCGAAAATTACGGAATTATCAATCTTTATCAAACAACTCCGTTTCACTTCGCTACAAACCGTCTATCTTAGTATTTCGAGGTTTGATTGACTTAACGGTATATGCACTTGTAATTGGCCAGTATTTCAACAAAATCAGTTTGATACGAAATAAGAAGAAATGTCCTGCAAATTTCAGAAAAACTTGGCGACTTCCTCTAATTTAGCAAGGTTCTGTACCTGTAAGGCAGAAGAATGGTCGTTCTGACAGGCGAGATCTTGTTCCACTTCGGAGACATCCAAAAGTGACTTGTCTTGAACCAGACGAGACAACTCACCAACAATAGTAACATGTTTAGACACTGTTCCCGACATCTTCTTAAACTGAGGATAATTCTCAACAAAAGCCTATTGGAAAAAAAAAAAGAAAAAAAACACATACAAAGCCAAACAGTTGACTTTTGCAAAACACCGATTACATCTAATCGCAAGGAAGAATCATGAAATACTACAGCTTCATTTATTTAGCAAGTTTTTCTTGACAAATGATATACATTTATGCCTCAGCAAGGATGGCTTGTCAGTCACACGAGAAAATGAGCTGATGTTGTCTTGCTTGTCCATGTTGTCAAGGAAAATACTGGCCAAAGTAGAATTGTCCTTTCACCGTTCACAATTGCCGTAACAAGTGTCGCTGTCAAGTCATCTACACTTGCAAATTTTGTACTCAAGAAGTTATTCCTTCACACGTCTCGTGCCGCCAGAAAAATGTTTCATATTCTTTCCGCAAAACTGCCAAAACATGTTTTTGTCGGTGTAAATAGGGAAAGCACAGAGTTACTTCAAAAAACGTTGTCCGACATCAGTAGTGTACGCAGATGACTATTTGGGCGATGACAGTTTAAAGCTGTTTGACCAAAGTTCTTGTGGCTTTATCACATTGATGTACTTCCACATTCGAGTTAGTTCTTAGAGATATACACTAAGACTTACCTTCATATCGGAAATGGACTCTAGACGCTGGTTACTCTTCACGTTCTGCTGAAACTCTGTCATCAGTGTTTTGATGTTTTGGCCAATTTCTCCAAAATTGAGATACATGTTCTGATAAAAAAATAAGAAAATAAAAAAAAGTGTATGTTAATGAACGGATTTGTTTTTTGTTTTTCTTTTGGAAACAACAATGTGCTGCTTGGTATTCTGGAATTAAAAGCTTACCCGTTGATAAAACTCGTCGTGTTCGGCTGATAAGACGACTTCCTGTTACAAAACAATCATGAAGAACATCATTAAAATTATTCCACCTAAAGCTGGTCAAACTAAAAAGTGCTGGGGGCGCAGAAAACAACACGAAGCGGTGCACGCTAAACACTACATCACGAAAAAGGTGCAGAGAACGAATTTTTAAACTTTTTTCGGTTTTAAATTTTTTGACGTTTCGAGCGTTTCGTGTGGACAAAGGGAAGTTGCGCACATCGTAGGCTTTTCAAAATTTACTACGGCAGTTTACGTACCTTCCACTCAGGACGCGGGATGCGTGTCATACATGACCATCGTAATGATGACGCTCATGGTTGAGAATCTGAGCGCGGAATCCGAAGGTCTGAGGTTCGATTCTGTCGCACGCTCTTAACAACACGAAAAGCAAATCTTTCTCCACTTTAACTTATTCTTATTCAACTTACTCATCCTTAATTTTCTAAACACATCTAAAGGGCCTGATTCGAGCGCAACCGGAATTGTTCATTGCTCGTTGTTTAGACTCTTAATTCTCCCCATGCCTTTATCAACTCAGTGGCCGGGGTATGAAAACATATTATGGGCGTAAACTGCGATGATCAACAAGTAGAAACCCGTCCCTGTTCTTTTTTAATTCCTGCTGAGGAAATCGAGATAAACTTCGGTAGTTGTGAACCCCCTAAAGCCTAAGTCTAAAGTGCGTCATCGAATGAAGAGTAAGATCAGCATAATATCAATGAACTTTCATCCTAAGGGCAGAAACGCAAATTTTGATACCTGAAGTTCTTTTGTGATGCCAGGGCACCTGGACAGATCCACTCTGTTATTTCTCAAACCAATCAGTTCATGTACCATTGCCTGGTAAGTCCACTAAATGGAACATAAATAAACGAAAACTTGTATAACGTAGATTCTCACCTGACAGTCACCCTGAGTTTTAACCAAACAAACACACCGCTAAACGGAAAAATCGCGGGGAATTAAGAGGCAGGGAATGAATGGTTCGAATAAATTCTCCCGGCAAAGATGGTATGAAAAGGTATTTTCATCGAGCAAGTTGTCTAAAATTCTTAGCGATCTGTTGACTACCCTTGGCGACGACAACAGCGAGTACAAACGCTCGGAATATACCTATTACGTAGTTTATTCTACACCGCACGGCCCTTGGTCAAGGTATGTTAACTTATCTGTAGATAACAGTGTAAGTACCCACTTGGTTTAGCAGAGGTGTTACTGGATCATCTCGTCTGTCTAAAATCAACAGCACGGGAGGAACATCGGTTCTTCTGAAGTCAAACAGTGAAGCCTCCTCATTTATCTTGTGCTAAACATAAAAAGTCAATTATAAACGAAAGGGTCTGGTGAGCTCCATGTACATTTGACGCCCAACATTGAAATCAGGAGTCCAACTGTATAAAATATACTTAGGCCAGAGAAAAAATCCATATGAGATTGCTACAGTATAAATTTATGCTATCTACAAGAAAGCAGCAAAGAAAGATTCCTGCAACCTTCTACTTATTAAGAAAAGGTTTGTTATTAAATACTGTATAACAACCTGCATCTCCCTTAATTGCAGTAAGACATTTGTGAAGGATACATTTATTATTTTGATAAAATAATGGTGATCAGATCAAACAAAGATTCCATTACAGTTCTGACCTTGATATTTTCAGCAAGTCTTTGAGCCATCTCAGAGGACTGTTGATATCTTATCAAAGGGCATTTCTTTAATGACAATAACACAGCCAAAATACCCTGACAGGAGCGATCTAATGCCTCACCATCCCAAGATCCACCCTTAGAGAAAAAAATTTGTAATAACAATGTTAATAGGTAAAATCTTGTGTCAGGATTCAACTCATAACAACACCGCTGATCACAGTAGTTTGCAGGATACTTGTCACAAATGAAACTTGCCTCCCTCATCAACTAGTGTTTAGAAGATTACAGATTTATGTAGTATTCCTGTGCAATCTAGGAAGACATAATAGTGTGCACTTGTGAAGTATAAAGAAAAAGATGCTCAAGGTTCAGCTAGTTCACCATGTTTTTGTAAATAATTTAAAAGTTTGAAATGAACATTACAGTTTGGACAAAAAAGAAAAAACAGATGATGTATTTCTAACCATTTATCTTGACAAACAATTAGTTTTCTGCAGTTCAGATGGTAGAGAATCAGCTCACATTGGAGGAGAATCAAATCCACTCAGAGGGATCAGACTATTTGTTACCCTAAGCTTATGACAAATGGTCTACCTATTCCATTTTTCCAACACATTTACTCTTTTAAACTAGTGAATGTAATATTTCCAAATAAGAAACGCTCACCCGTGAACAACTTGGAAGGTTTAGTGAAAATACATGTGGACTAACAGCAAAATAGTCAGAGTAAAATTCCTGCCACAAGTAAAGAAATAACACACAAACAAATCAGTTCCACCCCTCCAGGGTGAAAGAACAAACAATACATGGGGAGGGGGGGAGGGGTGAATAGGGAAGAAGAGCTGGTTCACCAGGGGTGGGATCTTCTGTGAGGAATAAAATATGAACAAACAAAAAAAAAAGTACACAAACATGCAAACTTCTAGAACAAAGAAATGCTATGGAGCATCATTAATGTCAGTTAACAGGACTTTACATCATAAGAGAGATCTGTGTTAAAACCTTGCTTAGATTGTATATAGCTCCTGAGAATGCGGGCATTTTCACATAAAAGATGTTCAAATCAAGATGTGTGAACACATAGGGACTCCAGAAAATGTCTAGTTACATGTAGGTTATGGGTTGCCATAGAAATGAATGTATTTGAACCATTAAGAGAATATCATTATTGCCAGTTATAATGTTCTTAAAATTCTAATATCACCTGGACTTCTCTTACAACTTCATGATCATCTGCTTCTGCAATTGCTCTGATACTGGGCTTGACAATGAAATTGGAAAAGTCTGAAATACAAGGTACCCAGTAATAAGTCTAAGAGAGTTCTGAAGAAAGGCATTTATTTCTCCAAGTCACATGAACGGGACTAAAAAAATATGTGAGCCTCCATGAGGAAGGGGACTCAGAACAAGTCAATCAGAAAGGTCTGGCATGCTAAGTGAATTGAAGATGAAACAAAATACCGTCCAGTAAGTTAATAACTGAAATTAGAAATAAAAAAAGAGAGACATAGACATTTCATAATGCTATGTGAGACAGAACATTCCTCATCAATTCATTCCTCACCAGACACATCTCAGTGTTAATATCAGTACAATCAATGTCCAGAGAATTCCTGACTAGTCACCCTCTCAACTCTGTTTATTTTGCAAGTAAAATTAAATAATTCACTATTTAGATTTTGAGAATACTCACATAGGTAATATGTTCCATATTTTGGATTTTTTAGTTCACTGCAAAGGTGCTCCACATTCTCCTTTTTAAATAAAAAGCAAAGGGTAGAGAATATAAGAGAAATGTTCAAAGCCACAGTAGTGGCAAATATAGTTAGCATACCTCCCTATTGTAGGTAGTTGACAACCCTCTACTCAACACATACAATAAAAAAAATTTTGCAACTCATCTCTAATAATAAATTATCTTAAATAAATCCTTCCCCCACCAAACAAAATTGGGAAGAGGGGGAAAGGGAGAGAAAAATGAAAGTTAGAGAAAACATTTAAAGGTAGTAGAGTGTTGCAAAAATTTTTCCTCTTATTCTAGATTAGAAACAACCCATGTTTAACTGCCACAGCAAAATGTTACTTTTTGCATGCTAGGAATCCAGGATTATTTTAAGCCTTTAACTCCCATGAGTGACCAAGACAGAATTTCTCCTTACAATATGAATGCAATATCGAGCGGATAAGTGATGAGAATAAAGAAAAATATTTGGGGATGATTAGTTGATCCAATACTAAATTCTCTGAACTAACATTATAAGAATTGTATGGTTGACAGTGAGGAGAATTACAAATTTGATCTGGGTTCTGTCAACCTTTCTCAGAATTTTGTTTGCAAATGGTTTGAAACCTGTGGTAACATGTAATGGTGTACATTATAGTTTGATCATCCAGGTGAGTGTAGTCCTGACACATGTCTCAATAACCTGAACAGAAATCATCATCAGAGTCAAGTGACTTTAATTATTGGCTCGGACTCTTGACTCTGACTCTTGACCCTGCCTTTCACTGACAGTCAAATCTTGACTCTGATGACGACATTTGTTCAAGTTGTAAAAACATCACTCTATTACTGACAAAATCGTTTCTTAGGACTGCTCCCACCCAGACAGTTGTGCTACACTATCAAAATTTTGTTCCTATAATTAGAAGCTTGTTTCACCACTGTACCTTTGTTGGTCTCAAGAAGCAAATAGCCTTTAAATGCTTCATTGTTTCTCGTCCACTGGTGTCAATTCTTTCAAAAAGATACACCTCCTTTTGCAGCACCTCACTCTGACTGTATACCATACTCACCACACCTGTCTAAATTAAAAAAAAAAAAACCAAACAAACAAAATTTTAAACATTTGTTTTGTTCAGGGAAAGACACAGCTGTAACTCACAGAAAAAAAAATTGAAAGAAAATAATGACTTATAACATGAAAATGGTTCAAGCTGATTTTATTTCACCCAACCATTAGTGCTCCTGGTAGAGCGCCACTAAGGTGAATTAAGTGCTCATGGTAGCTGATCAAGAGATATTAGGCTGTTCATTGCAAACATCTTGAAATCCTTTGGTGAATTTCAAAGAATTTCACAGCTTAACATCCTCAGTGCTGTTTCGCCCTCTTGATACATTAAGAATGTTAATTTAGATTTAGATTTACAGGAATTATTTACATAGTATTATATGCCGAGAACAAATTTACAAAAGCCACTTTAAAAGAAAGGTTTACAAAGCTACAATAAGGAACTTCCAATTATGTAAAATTCAGAAATAAGAGGCAAAAAGAGAATGGATAAAAATATTAACTCCACAGGGTCATGCAAACCATTCATCGATCTCAGCTGGAATATTGTCGCTTACTGTTTCCTTGTCCATAAGAAGAACTTTCATTCCTTGCCCACTATCTGCGATCATCTTTGTGACGTACTGCTTCACTGCCAAAATGACATTCATGATTTTCCCCCTAAAAGAGCCCGTTGTTTAGTATCTGATGTGAAAATTAACATTAACGGCAATCTTTCAAAATATCGCTTAAGATCTTCAAATCACACAGCTGAAGACGCCATTTTTATTTTCATGACAGGTCTATACCAATCTCTCTCGTCCAAGAAAGCAACAAGGCCCTATAATTATGTCAGGGGAAGGGTGAGGAAGTTAATTACGTTTGGGGAGTATAAAAACAAACTTCGATCTGCATTTAAAGCGCACTGAAACAAATAAAAAAATTTAAATACACATTTTTCCATTCCAATTAACGATTTTTCTTTTCTTTTTTCTGGCCAAAATATTAAAAGCGATAAAATATCGATTTTTCCCTCCCTACCCTAGATAAAAATGATAAGCGCCACTAACAGTTGTATTTTCAAGATGGCGGACGAAGTAATCGACATTGAAGTCGCCAGGCAAAAAATGAGACAATGGCGCGATGAACCTCTTCGTAACAGTGAAGAGGTCACTGAATTTGGCGAATGTCTTATTTTAGAACATGGAAATAAACTCGGAGACGAGCTGTGGACGATCTATGAGCAAGTATTCTTGGCTTCGATCGACTGTCGAAAAATGGATTTGGCGACCATGTGCTTGAGGGAACTCAAATCACAATTTCCTAATAGCGTACGAGTAAAAAAACTCAATGCAATGCGCCTGGAATCGTTTGATAAATACGACGAAGCCGAACAGATTTATGAGAAGATTCTGGAGGCCGAACCAGCGAACGGTGCAGTCCGTAAAAGGCTGATCGCCATCCTCAAGGCGCAGAACAAGGTTGGGGAAGCAGTTAAAGAGTTGAACGAATATTTGAAGAAGTTCATGAGTGATCAAGAGGCGTGGAATGAGTTAGTTGAGCTCTACATCTCACAGCAGGATTACAAAAAGGCGAAGTTCTGCATGGAAGAATTGATCTTAATAAATCCTCACAACCATCTGTTCCATCAGAGGCATGCCGAAATCCTGTATACCCTTGGGGGAAACGAAAACGTGGAAAAGGCAAGGAAATACTTCGCACAAGCTCTCAAACTCGATAATAACAACATGAGGGCTCTGTTTGGCTTTTTCATGGCCTCTGCTCATTTAGCAAATGCCTCCAAAGATGTTAAGGCCAAGAAGGAAAATTCTAAATTCGCTGCCTGGGCGGCAACACAGATAAGTGAGAGGTATCAGAGTGTGAACCAAGCCCACGAAGAGGAGGGTTTTTTAGAACTAGAGAGCATGCTAGACTCTCTACAGATTGCCATTCCACAGAATATTTCTTCACAGCGACTTGGTGACAATTAGATTTTTACAGGCAGATACATGGTATGTATCTACATGAACATGCAAGTGAATATTGAGGAGTTCAAACCTATGGAGCACAAGACTTAAATATTTCTTTTACAATTGTTGTTTGATTTGAAAATCTTGAAACTGAGTAGTGAAAAGCCCATTTGATGGGGATATATGGCAGATTGTTCAATTTACATATAACTTACACGTATGATATTAAATCTCTAGGTCACAATCATCAGCTTTTGTCAATTTATGCTATCTTCATCATTCTCCCTTATTTTTGGTCAGTTTATTAAAAAAATTTAACTCTTGTATGATCTGAACTGACAAAGTTGATAGCTGGGTTGAATTATGTTTGCATAGTTAGGAGAACATATTGCTTTGCCCTTCTTGGAGGATCAGGGGCATGCTCCCACGCTTGTGTAAGGTGACAAACACAAAAAGCTGGACTAAACAAAATACAAAAAATGTTAGTTCAGGATAGATATTACCATGGGTGAAAATTTTTTAGATGCTTTAATGATGCACAGGTACACGTAGCTCTTTTAAACAAGTCTAGTGTGATTTAATTAAATACTTAAACCCAATGTATATGCACATGAAGCTTATTTACAAGCAAAGGTATTTGTGTGAATAAGACTCTCTTCAGTGTGAATAAGCCTCTCTACAGTACTAACTATATGCCAATTTTCCAAGCTATTTTATTTTGGAGTAGTAAAGGTCAGATAGAAGCCTCTCATATTGTGATAAAATAATGTTGGACATATTATAAGAAGACATAGAAAAGCTGTAAAAAGTATGCACATGGGTGCACTTTGTACATGTGTACCTATCTGATTTCTACATTGAAACAGTAAGAAGAACATTGTGTTGAGCAAGTGCTTATGTACTAAATAGAGGATATACAGTTATGCATAAACTTGATATTGCAATAGGTCTTCTTTACTTACCAGTATGTTTTATAATAGGATATACCACTGCCAACCTAAAACTTTGTCAAATGTTATGTACCCACCCCCCCAAGGAAGAGCAATGGAGAGATGGGGTTGGGTTGGAAAATTAAGGCAGTCTGGGTGAGGATGTGTAACTGTATTTTCAAACCTTGACCTTACATGTGTTTCTAAGACAATCCATTGATAAACCTACTTTGTTTAAAACGAAAAGAAGCTATGAATTATGGAAAATTGACTTTACAGAACCGCATCTAGTATATTTACACAGAATATTTAGTGTGTTTGGGTAAACTCTTTTCGGATTCTTTCACTCTTGACCCATTGGAAATACAAACCGTTGATAGCCGATTTTATCGTAATTCCAAATCAGGCTGACGCTAAGGACACGGCCAGTTTACTAGCTTGAACAGGTAGTTGGCCTTTGTAACACGGAAAATGATTCGGTTTGTGAGAGAGTCAATCACTCGGTTAGTTCCACTTTCTCTCGTCATTTTTCTTTTTACCTGGTTTGAAGTTAAAGCTTGAAACCAAACCATTAAAAGTAAACAATTTTTCTAAGATACCGCGCGTAACCCACATGTTAGACGCTGGAACATTAATATCATGAAACTTTGAAGTGCATTTTAAAATCTCTTTATCTTATTAAAACAACCGGTTACAAACTTCATCGAATGAGCACTTTACAGTATTTAACAATAAAAAGGTATTATTTTTTAGCGGCGCAACGACAGGCAATCACAAAATTATCAGTGTCTCTAACGGTTTCACACATTCCAAAGGACTGCTGGCTACGAGAATCTGTTTTACTAAAACAGTCTGGGTGCTCTTCCTGGCATTGAAACGTTCTTCTTCCATGCAAGACAAGAATCTTTTTAACACAACACCTGTCATGAGTTTGACGCTTGACACGTACACGTACACGTACTGGGATGGAGCTTGTTGCTGACTGTTTGATCTCTGAGCTATTCCAGGGTGACAAGGTGAAGTGATAGACTTGCCTTCCTAGACCTTGAGGCAAACAGGTTGCTTCGTGAAGAACGAAGAAAACAATAGCGAAGATAGTAGCCCTCTGTAAGGAAAATGATGTTTCGTTTGGTCACGTCTGAGTTGGGCTTTCGTAATTCATTTATAGCGAAAGAATTTCAGTGGACATAAATGGCAGTCCGCCAAAAAACTCGTAAATGTGAGTTTGGTTACAAAGTGTCGATTGTATAATGGATAAACAAAAATACTGATGGCTGGGCTTCGACAGTAAGATAGTTAACCCTAGAGCAAAACATGCCTAAGATTCGTTAAGAGGACGACTGAGACAGAGTTTCTTTGGTTCCACCGTGGAAATGGGTATGACGGGTTTTATCAGGTCTTACGAGCCAGTTATCCCCTGATTTTGATGGTATATCTCGGTTTCTGTAGCATGAAACGACTTGGAATATTGCTGCTCCTTCCTTTTAACCCTTTGACCCCGAAGAGTGACTAGCATCTAATTTCTCCTTACATTATCACCCCTGAATCACATATTGAAGTCACGAGAGTAAAAGAAATGATCACCAACTAAAGACGCTCTTGATTTTCAGACAAATTCTCCTTGGTAACAATTAAGGAGATGTATAGAGAACAGTATGGAGAATATGTATGCTTACATTAGAATGAATGCTTTCAAATTTATCCTGAGTTAACGAAAAACAACGTTTACATTTCATCATTTCATCATTGACATGAAGAGAAAACTGTGCTCTTTATGTCTTCATTTTGTTTTACTGTGTGACGATGGGTTTTTAGCACTAACAAGTAACAAACAAAATATAATACGTGAATATGAAAGCGATCTTCGCAGTAATGAACACTACTTAAGCAGTAGTGAAATGAAGGCCTGAAAAAAATCAGGCCTGTACGGGATTTGAACCCATGACCTCTGCGATACCGGTGAAGTGAAAGTCATATATTTTTCAGGCCTTTTTTTCACTACTGCTTAAGTAGTGTTCATAACTGCGAAGATCACTTTCATATTCACGTCTTTATCCGCAGTTTAAATATATGACTCTCTTATATTCACAGCCGTTTATTCACCACTTCACGGATTTATTTAGAACCAACACAGCAATGAGCTCCTAGCTGGCTTGGTAGCTCAGTTGGTAGAGCACTGCACCGGCATCGCAGAGGTCATTGGTTTAAATCCCGTACAGGCCTAAATTTTTTTTCAGGCCTTCTTTTCACTACTGCTTAAGTAGTGTTCATTACTGCGAAGATCGCTTTCATATTCAAGTCTTTATCCGCAGTTCAAATATGACTTTCATATATCCACAGCCGTGTAAAATATAATAGTTGGCAATTGAAAAACTATTGTGGCTTTTCTATCTTTTTTTAAATACTGTAGCGAAAGAACTTGAAGATATCGAAAATTGTCAACATAAAAAGATTATGCATAAATATATTCCAAACAAACACTCGTAAAAATTACTATATTTTCCTGTAAAAACAGCATCTTTGGCGGTTCATCTATGTGGTTATTTGTTTGTTTTTTGGTACCGAAGAAATGCTAAAGAACACCACTGATTTAATTCTTTTGTCAGTGTCAAGCGCAAGTGTCACGTAGTTGTTTCAGATAAAATTTACTTCTCAAAAAAAGAAAGAAAAGAAAGAAACTATACTTCTTAACGTAGTAGATTTAGTGTTTTCCTTCACAATTTTTGATAGAAATTAGTTAGAGGCATCATACAACTTTGATTCTTAATTGAACATACGTACCATTTTTGTCCGGTTACAAATTGACCTTCAGGTGGTGAAAGATTTACCTAAGCTTGTTGAGTTCACCGTAGTTACTAATGGGTGTTCTCTGTGGTGAATCTGTTCGCTTTGTACTTGAACGTTAATGAAGAGAGAAAGTTCAAGTTCGTTGCACCATCACAAGAAATAATTTCGTGTCGAAAGTTTGTTTAAAATATCTTCAGGACGAAGAAACAAGGGACATTGGGATTTGCGGTGATGCTCGGTAAAGTCTCACATCCTGCGGTGATCGTTTTTTTTGTTGTTAAAGCTCCAGAGAAAGGCTTAATTAAACGAAATTATTTGCGTTGAAGTGGTTCTGTTTTTCAGTAGGGCCACGCGCATATGTCGTTAACCGCATCGTCTTTCTCAGTCACAACTAAATTAAATTCAACCTCTCCAGCAACTATAATTAGTTTTGTAATGATTATGGTTCAGAAGATTTCAGAGACAAGGATGAAAAACTTATAATTAAAGGATTTGAAAACAACAATTAAAAAACAAACAAACAAACAAACAAACAAAACAAAACTTAACATGAGAAAAGTAAGCAAGGACGATTTAAACTCAAGACTGCCAGCAGTGAATCGACTCTATTGATGATACGTGCACGTATCTAATACAGTTTTGATATTTGATCAGCTACGTGTCTAAATTTCTCATAACTATCAGGTATATTGCGTAGCCGGCGTTCCTTCAAGTTTTCATGCGGTTGTGCGGTGTTTTTAAGTAATTCTTTGCGGTTCTGCGGCAAGCAAAGGTTTACTATGTTCTCTGCAGAAAACTAATTTTTCCCAGAAACAGTTTGACGTAAAGACATCGCAGCAATCGTTATAGAAGGCATATAAGACCTTGAATCTTACCCTTCCTGGAATATAAAACTTGAAGCTAACTTTGGAGTGCTTTGTTATGACAAAAAACAATTGAATATTAAACTGTACATTATTATTAATCATTATGTTCAGTTTTTTTTAAATTTAACTTTCACTTTATTTGAAAGCTGAAAGGCTAATGACACTTAAAGCAGTCTATCCCGTGAAATCCTTAGTAAATAAGTGATCAGCATTCTATAATCAACACTGCTTCTCTCAATTTAAGGGGGTGGGCTGAAGTAGGACAAATAGTGCAGCGCGTTAGATGAAATTGTTTTGAAACGAGAATTCTAATATAATAATCAAAATTATTTTGCAGTCTAGCAAGTCTGGCACTCCACTACCAATTTAAAGCTCCTTTTTTTTAAATTGAAGTTATTATCTTATAGATTATAATTGATTCCCGTGTTAGCTTTCTTTTCTTTTCTTTTTGCTAAAACTACTTCCTTTCAAATATTATTTTGGTCTGTTGAAGCATGACTGTGATATGTAAGCCTTAAGGATGATGTTGTAATTTCTTTAGCAATCCGTAAATGCATATTTCAGACAAATCAATTTATTGTGGCACACTGTACGAAAAGCAAATTTGTTTCTGAAGATAATGTTGTTTCAATAAACTACAGCCGGTTCTACGTAAACTCAATAGTGTAAACAGAAAATTATAAAGGGCATGTTAAGGTATCATTCAGTGGTATAAGCTGTTTATTTTTAAACCTTCTTTATATTCATGAGTGCGGAACCGGAAGGTAAAAGAGGACCACGCTTAGTAACAAAGAAGAGAAAAGAAGCTATTAATACCTGTTATAGTTATTCTCTTATAACACACATATTGCCTAAAACGTCATACCATCTATTCATGAATGAAGATGAATTTGAATGAAAATGATTTTTCTCTCTTTGGATCTTTTCCGTCAGCAGTGAAGCCCACAACTAAATTCATTATCAATGAAAGGCCCTTTTTGTTGCGTTATTTTATTTTGTTAACTTCTTGGGATTGAATTAAACTTATAGATGAATAAACAGGTACATAAATAAACAACTAAACAAACAAAGGACCATGATTCATTTGCTTGACAGAGATTGTTTGCGTAAAATCTCATATTGTTCAATCGATTAGTTGTATCAAATACTACATGCGTGTTTGGTGTGATAGATCTAGAGTAGATGAAAACCTTAACAACTCTTTATAAGTGGCTTACGAGGGACTTTCTTCAGATCGGAAATCTTGTCACTCATCCAATTTGTTGATAGATGTTGCATTAAAAACTTTTTTCTTTTAAAGCTATTCTTCACCCTCGTGAACAGAAATATAC